AGGTGCTTTGTTTACCTATGTTCGCCCGGAACCTACAGATCGACCTGAGCTGTTAAGTGTAAGCCCACAGGCGCTAAAGGACATTGGTCTGAAAGACGGCGAGGAGAAGACGGCGCAATTTCGCGACCTTGTCTCGGGAAATAAAATCTTCTGGGATAAGGAGAATGGAGGAATATATCCGTGGGCACAGTGTTATGGCGGTGAGGAATCTAGAAAATTGAAAATTCTGTCAAGTTGTCATCATAAGTTATCTGCTAACACCTTTGAGGCTGGCAATTGTATGTTGAAAGCACCGCTTTAGCATTCGATATTAGGATTTATATTAACGACACTTCTATAGTGGTTCATGGGCCGGGCAACTGGGCGATGGGGTATGCTCAATTGTCTTTTATATATTTGTCCTCTATGTTTAAAGCTATGGCATGTTGCGATACTAATACTCTATATATAGCGCGCCATCAGCCTCTTCGAATCAACGAATCCTACGACGAAAACTCGATATGAGCTTCAGATTAAAGGGGCTGGCAGGACCCCTTATTCTCGCTTTGCTGACGGAAAGGCCGTTCTCCGTTCGAGCATTAGGGAGTATGTAGTTTCAGAAGGTTGGTCACTCCGCCTGTAGATATATCTACGCATACACTAATGCTGATACTAGCTTTGAACGCCCTGGGAATCCCTACAACTCGTGCCCTTTCGCTCGTGCTGTTACCCAACTCCAAAGTGAGAAGAGAGCGGTTGGAGCCCGGAGCTATTGTGACCCGGTTTGCTCAATCATGGATAAGGATCGGAACTTTTGACCTTCCCAGATCTCGCGGTGATAGAGATCTCACCAGGAAACTAGCAACCTATGTCGCGGAAGATGTCTTTCCCGGTTGGGAGTCGCTTCCAGCAGCTCTATCTTCGAAATCGCCTGATGCGAAAGATACACCGTCTGTCGATTATCCTTTGAGAGGTGTGCCTAAAAACGAAATCCAGGGAGAGGAAGGAGCTGAAGAGAACCGCTTCACTCGCCTCTATCGAGAAATAGTCCGACGCAATGCAAAGACCGTTGCCGCGTGGCAGGCCTACGGCTTCATGAACGGAGTGTTAAATACCGACAATACTTCAATCATGGGTCTTTCTCTCGACTACGGCCCTTTTGCGTTCCTGGATAACTTTGATCCGCAATATACCCCGAACCACGATGACCATCTCCTTCGATATTCATATAAGAACCAACCAAGTGTGATCTGGTGGAACTTAGTCCGACTTGGAGAGTCCCTGGGTGAACTGATGGGCGCTGGCGATAAAGTGGATGACGAGACCTTCGTTTCAAAGGGGGTGACTGAAGAGTTTAGCAAGATCCTGGTACAAAGAGCAGAGAAACTCATTGATAACACTGGCGAAGAATACAAAACTGTATTCCTGAATGAATACAAACGGCTCATGTCGGCGCGCTTAGCGTTGAAAGCTCCCAAGGAATCTGATTTCCAGGAGCTGTTCTCAGAACTGCTTGATACGCTCGAGGCTCTTGAGTTGGACTTCAATCATTTTTTCAGACATCTATCTAGCATTTCGCTCGCTGACATCGACACCGATGAGAAAAGGAAGGCTATTTCAAGTATCTTCTTTCATAAAGAAGGCGTCGGGGGAATAGGAAACACTGAAGAATCTGCTAGGGGGCGTATTGCAAAATGGCTTTCTTCATGGCGGGAACGCATCGTCGAAGACTGGGGTACGGAAACTGATGAGGAGAGACAGAAGGCAATGAAAGCTGTTAATCCGAAAGTGAGTACTTTTTCCACTCATCTATCAAGCTTGGATGCACAAATTATACAATTTGTGTTTAAGCAATATGTGCGATGCTGACCTTAATTTACAGTTTCTACCCCGATCCTGGATTCTCGACGAGGTGATCGAACGTGTCGAGAACAAGGGCGACCGAGAAATTCTCGACCGTGTCATGCATATGGCCTTGAACCCATTCCAGGAGGAGTGGAATTGGAACAAAGACGAGGAAGAGCGATTTTGCGGAGATGTTCCGCAGTTCAAGAGAATGACGATGTGCAGTTGCAGTTCATAAGTACGCCATACTAATTGGCTATGTATATTTTATGGGAAAAAAAATTCTTTTCCTGTTCTATGAAACTCCATATTTTTTGATGTATATCTGACTGCCCACTATTTTTTTCACTGCATCTTATGATAATGCAGGATTGAGCACTCGAGGTTTCGGGTTCTTCCCTTGTGGTTTAGACGTTTTTATATACGCTACGCTTCTCGATCATTGAGAAATGCACAGCACAACTACGATTATCACTCTTCTGCAACACTGAACTCCTGGATAAATGCCATCCTTGATGACTCTATCTGCCACCAAATTATTCACCAGCATCATTTGTGAAATATAAGCTTTTTAAAAAAGCGAGAGATCCCTCAGACACTTGCTTTTCTATTTCACCTTCATTATACTTACGAACAAGAAGATATAGTCCACGTCTATATACCTACTGTCATTTGATTCCACGAACAAAGAGACAGGAGTTACGGCTTTCAACAACAATTTTTGCCCTCCTAGTTTCTGGAGAAAGAAAGAGCGTTGCGAGTCATGGAATGCGACGAAGATGAAATGCTCGCTCGTGCTTTTCAAGCGAGTATACAGTTGCATGAAGAGCACCAGAGAAACGTGGAAGATGCAGCAATATCCGAACTGGAGGAGGAGGAGAGGGTATTGCGTGAATCTGAGGCCGCGGCTGCAGAGGCCCAGCGCACCAGACAAGGTGAAGAAGAACTGCTCCAGCTGATTCTTGAGAGAAGCGTTGCGGATGCCGACGAGGGCAGGGTTCGAAGGAGGAGGATGGCGGAGGACGAACGTGCGAGGCTGGATCGGCTGTTTGGGTCAGGAAGGAGCTGGGGTATGGATCGAGAAAGTCTATTGTCCGCTCAGGAGGAAGAGAGAATTGACCGCGTTCTGCGAGATGATGACCCTTTATATGCCGAACCGGAAGAATATGAGCGCTCAAGCGTTCGCCGTGAGTCAACAACAGATCCTACCTCCGCGCATCCACGACCTCGATCGGGTGCCCCTAGACGGCGGAGGCCTCGAGTAGAGCGATCTCTGTTAGAGGCATGTATTTGTCCTCCCCACCCCTTCCTCTCCGCAATACTACCATGTGGGAAACACCAGCTGCTAACAAGACAGATCTAGAGACTCCTCATCGGCAGCCTACGGCCGCCAGCGGCTGCCATAGCTCGACGCAACACTTCACCAGCAGCACAAACACGCTCTTCCCGCAGCACACAAGCATCTGAGCCAGCACCAAGATATGACCACTGTACAAGATACCGTCCACCCCGGGCCTCAGCGGACGCTCCTAGCAGCACTAGCAGCACTAGCAGCATTAGCCGCAGCCGCAGCGGTAGAACGCACAGAAGATCCCACCGAGACCCTCTCTCCCCCATAGCTACCTACTCCCTCGACGAGGTCCTCGTCCGCAGCCGCCACGACTCCTTCCCCACGGGCCTTACCAGCGCAGCCGTCGAGGAGCTCAACCACGCGGAAATGCAAGCAGCCATAAACGAGTCCGCTGGCGGCAGGTGCCGCGACGAGGACGAAGAAGCCATCCGGCGCAACCGCGGCGTCCCGACGTATACGGAGGCTGTTTACATGAAGCGCTATGGGGCACCGAGGGGGCGGAGGTATGTGTTTCAGGGGCCTAGTTCTGTGACTTTTGAGGGGGAAGGGGGGGGGAAAATGCGGTGGGAGATTGTGGGGGATATGGATTTGGGGGAGGCGCTTAGGGCTGCTAATCGGAATGTCCTGTAAATGTGTTGGGGTTGTAGAGGGATCGTGAGTAGGAGAGGGGAGAAATTTGGGTGGGGAGAGGGAAGATAAAGAGTAGAGTAGGAGTTCCTGAACCATACTTTTCAGCTACCTACTTATTTACCCATCCATCAACCTCCTAAGTGGGGAGTTGAGTCGGCACGTTCGTCTGTAGGGTATTAATAAGTAAACACTTGAATAAAATATGAAGCTAGCGCTGTTCATTTCTATTTTGCAACAAGAGAGCCCGGCTAAGCTTAATGATGATGATATTGATATCAGCCCTCCCTTCTTCTCCCTTGCTCTCTCCGTCAAAGCAAAAGTATTTCTTATTTAATCAAGGATAAAAACAACTATAGCTAGCTACTCGACGGTACAAGAACAAGCTGACGTGTAGAGAGGACACCTCAAAACCGAAACAGATAGCTGGCCTTGTCTCTCGCAAACCAACACAAAGGAAAGGCAAAGAGAGAAAGATAACCCCCCTTCCCCGGTCATCCTTTTTATTTAATCGATACATAGCCCATTCATTCTATATAGATAGGAGAAATAACAATTTGGTTTCCCAAAAAAGAAGAAAAAAGAAAGAAAAAAAGAAATATAAAGAACCCTGAAAAAAAAAAAAAAAATTCGAGAAGACCTAATAGAAATTTTACATACCCTAGAGAAATAAAAACGAAAGAAAGGGAAGCGACAATTTTGTATCAGAGTCGGAGGTAGTCTTTTGTTGCCTTTTATACGATGAGATAGATAGCTCAAGCATACCCTCGCTGGAGATAGGTGCAAGTACATGTATGTGTGCTTATTTATATAAACGGGGGGAAAATACACCACAAAATATGCAATGATGAAGATGGTATGGTATGCAGCCTGGACAAAAGAAAAAATGAGAAAAAAACAAGAGAAAGATATATTCTCTGAACTGAAAAACAACCTGAAGAACACACAAAAGTGCCATTGCTGATCCGATTTTGGGATTTGGTGATTTGGTGATTTGGTGGAGCGGGTTGTGCATATACATGCCCTGCATGCATGGGTGTGATGGTGTATGTATGTGGGGATGTGTGTCTTGCTTTGCTTTGCTTGTGCCATTCTTCTCTCATTTCAACTCTCAATTTCTGTCTCTTCATCCTTTTACAAAAACAGAAATAAAAAAAAGGAAATCCATACATAGAAAAAAAAAAAAAAAAAAAAAAAAAAAACCAAAAGAGCAAAACGCAAAACCATCCTCAGAGCGTTTGAATATCTTTTTTCCTTCCTTCTTTTTTTTTTTTTTTTTTTTTTTTTTTTGCCCTATTTTCTTTCCCTTCGTTTCTCCTTTGCCTATCAGTAATTTCCTTGATTTCCTTGACATAACCAAATCCAGGCCAGGGTGTATGTATGTATGTGTATGATGTGCGTGTGCATAGGAGGGTGAGTATGGGGGGTGTTCATTTTTGTTTCAAAAAAGGGATTGTTTTTCTTTCCATGTGTGACGTAGTAGCGGTAATAGTAGCATAAGAAAGACAGGAAAAACAAAAAGAGGCATAATCTCATGATGATTTAAAGTATAAGAAAAACGACGGAAAAAGGAGAAAAAAGAGGAAAAAAACAAGAAAGGGGGAGGGGGCCCAAATAAAGAAGAAAAAATTTATTTTTTTTCTCATGTCCGAGTCATGACCAGGCTATCCTTCCAAATGGGCCATGTGGTGGTGGGGGGCAACAAAAAATAAATAACTATGAATGCCCGCACGCTTGGCTGGAAGGAAAAAGAAAGGAAAAAAAGGAAAAGGAAACCCAGTTTCTCCTCGATCTTCTCTCTCACGACGGCCCCAATAAACGCCCTTTTCTCTGCCGTACTTAGTTGGGGCAGGCTGCCTGGACGTGGCCGGTTTGTTTGCACTTGTAGCAAACGCGCTCACCCTTGGCCTCAGTGGGGCAGTCTCGAGAGACATGGCCAACTTCGCCGCCTTGAGGGACGGAGGCAAAGAAGAAAAATCAGAATTGGATACGATATTTGCTTGGAGAGACGAAAAGAGAGGGGAAGAGAGGAAGGAAGAAAGAGGACAGGGACAGGAAAGGGGTGGGGGTAAATTAAAACGTACAGTTGTAGCACTTTTGACCCTGAGTGCAGTCGCGAGCCATATGACCGTAGCCGCCGCACGAATAGCAAGTCTGCTGGCGGCCGCCGCCATAGCCACCGCCGTAACCACCAGCACCGCCATAACCAGCGGATCCGTAACCTCCGCTCTGTGAGCAGTTACGGGCGATGTGTCCGACTTGGCCGCACTTGTAGCATTCCTGGCCGCCAGCAGCTCCTCCGCCAGAGTAACCACCGCTAGTGTAGTTGTCTCCGGATCCGGCAGATGTGCAGTCACGGGAGATGTGTCCGGTCTGGCCGCATCGGTAGCAGGTTTTTTCCTTGGGGGCAGCAGTACATTCACGGCCTAGAATAGGGAAATTGCGTTAGATGGATTCCGTGTGGGTTTGTCATATGAGGAATGGGGGCACTGGGTGCGTATACTTACTGACGTGTCCCTGTCCTGATAGCACAAAACACAACCAGATTAAAATCTTCTTCATAAATGAAACCTGGGTTTTGGCGACTTACCACCACAGTTGTAGCTGGAAGAAAATCGAGTTAGACATGAAACAGGGATAGATGATGATGAGGAGGAGAAGGAGGAGAAGATGTCGAATGACTTACCAGGTAGGAGTTCCCTTCTTGGGGCAATCACGAGCCTAATGAGGGGAAGAAAAACAAAAATCAATGCCATCCACGAATCCACAGGGCGCAAAACATATTAACCTGATGAGAGGCCTCGCCACCTATAACGGAGATGGGTGTTAGTAAACATGGGTTAAGACCAAAAAAGCACTCGACTGCGAGTTGGGAATAACATTTCCAAGTGCAAGAACGATAAAAAAATAAAAAACAAAAAACAAAAAACAAAAAAACAAAAAAAACAAAAAAAACGGAGCCTTGCGCGTGGGGAGATATCGCAGATCGCCTGGATAATTATTTCGATCGATATTGGACAAGTCCCGCAGAGACATTAAACGGCCAAGTGAGGGCTGGAGGGACAAATAGTGCAGAGGAAACAGTTCCAGCCAACCTACACAACCAACGCGGCCACAAATAAAATTTCAAACCACATAAAAAAAAGGTTGTAATCGCAGCGATTAAGAGGCGGACTCACAATTGAAGCATCCACGGCTACCTGACTGGTAATCCATCTTTGGCGACTTAGAAAAAAAGTATTCTCTTTTATAGATAAGGACTGAAAGGGGGGAGATGAAAGGTTGGTGGTAATCGAAAGAACCGGAGAATAAATCGAGTATTGTAAATCGATCTGGGTTGAAAGTTCGACGAGGAGGAGGAGGTTGAGAGGGGGGGAGGGTTTAAAATTTTATGTCGATTATTTGCTCCTTGGGGCAAAAAATATAGGGTAAAAGGTTTGTCAGTCAGGACCCAAGTCAGCAGCAAGGCCGGGAAAGAAAAAATATTTGGAAAAATCGTTTAAAAAAGCGAAAAAAAAAGGTAAAAAGAAAAAAATTCGAAAAAAAATTCGAAAAAATATCGCCCCTCTCACAAGGCAAAAAAATGTCAAAAATGCCGGACAGTGCGATGCGGGGAAAGCTTGAAAACGGCGGTGGCTCCAAGCGAGCGAGGGGCCAAAAATAAGCCAGCCCGCTAGAGCTAGTTAGCGGAGGGTCAATAATACGTACCGTCACAATAGTTGGCGGAGAGGATTATCGTCAGAGGAGGAAGAGGAAGAAGAAGAGATAATATAAAAGAAGACGAAGACGTTGCTGCTGCTGCTGCTGCTGCTGCTGCTGTGGTGGTGGTGGTGGTGGTGGTTGTTGATTGATTGATTGATTGATTGTCTGTCTGGATGATGTCGAAGAGAAGAAGAAGACGGACTGGACGGACTGCGGCTGGCCCCAAGGACGACGAAGTCACTGGACCCGCGGCTTTGTTAGTCGGGAGCCATTATTATAATATTTTATTGTTCAATAACATAGTTGTTGAAGGGAATAATAAAAATCCCTTTCTCTCTCCACAATAGGATCTCCTGTTCAATCCTGGTCGGTTCAAATAGCGGTCCTGTCATGTCAGCTCTATTTTGTATGTACATGTACAAATATTAGTTTCACGGTTGGGTTGCACAAGTAGTTACTGAGCAGCAGTAAGCTCTCATTTTCTGCTGCAAAATGAGAAACAATCCCCTATCAGAAACACCTAGATACTCAGTATGTTAGATATTTATTCATTTCTGTTCGCCGTCTTCATCTCAATCTCCCACTCAATCTCCCACTCAATTTCCAACTGGCCCAAGGCCATCTTGGTGGGTAGTGAGTGGTAGTAGTGATATGGATTGCGATGTCTGTCAGCCATGTCTTGTCTGTCCCACCAAAAATTAACAGAAGACGAAGGAGAAGAGAAACAAAAAGAAGAAGAAACAAAACAATCCAGCAAGAGAAACTGGGGGCGTACTATATATATATATATATATATATATAATATTTATACTAGAACACCCTGATTATTTATCCTGACGCTAATAACTACAGCTCAACAACCCCTTCCCCTCCCCCCAAGGTCCCCCTCTCGCTGTCTCCCTCCGTGTTCGCTGCCCCCAAGGTCCCGGCTGTCTCTCTATTTATCTCGCTATCTTCTCTTCTCTTCTCTACTCTATTTATATCTATGTATATTCCTCTCTATCCCCACCCTCGTGCAATCTGCATGACGCCCATTCCACCCATATGTGGCATCCGTTAAGAGGAGCTAGACCAGGGGAAGACTCAGGGCAGAACTGGGTGTCCGTCGTAGCTGCACGGAAGGGAGAAGGAAGCTCGAGCCGCCGATGATCGCCTTCATGACGAACCAGGTTATCTCTATTATTTTTGTTGTTAGTTACCACCTATACATGGATACCTACTTTTTAACTTTTTATTCTATTTTTTAGCTTCTACTTCTAGGACTACTTCTACTTCTAGGACTGCAAACATCCCCCTCATCAGACAGCAGAGAGGCAGGAATGGCCCAGGACACATTTCCCCTCATATTGTACACCTAGATGATAGATATACAGAAAGCTCCGTGGAAGTTCGTCTGAGTTTTGAACATTTGGAGTCCTAAGACTGTACGTGGTGTGTCTGTCCTGTACAATCGTGAGCAAAGGACACCCACCGGCCACGAGAAGAGGACGAGAGCTGTATAAACCGTCTATTAAAAAAGCAAGATATTTTTCCTGAAGGGCCCATGCACATGTACATGTGCAGGTACACGTGCTTACTACGTATGTTGAAGTCTAGGAGCTATTTATGAATCTACGCAGTAGATAGATAACTATCAGACTCAATTTACCATCTGATTCAGCTAAATATGAACTTAAAAAGCGACAATCCTTCTACGTAAAGTCATAACAACCCAGCAACTGCGTCCCCAATTCCCGCTCACGAAGCACCACAACCCGCTCATCATCAAATCCCACCCACCCCCTCATTCGTGCCGCCAACGCCAGCTCCCTCGACACATCCTGCAGCGCAAGCCCTAGTCCATCCCCGCGCCGCTCAATGGCTTCAGAAACTAGCTCCAAAGGTTGCTGTAACCGCCGTCTTTTCCACCGCCCCGTATCCGCATCCGCATCCGCATCCGCACTGGTTTCGTCGTTTCCATTTCCATTACGATTTTCATTCTCAGCGCTGATCTGAACACTACTATCTCTGCGCACCATCCGCGCCGAGGGAAACGACGACGATATCATATCCTCCAGTTCCCAAATACGAATCTCGCCACCGCGCGAGCTGACGGAGACTGCCCTCCCACGCTCACTCACCTGCACGCCAGATACCGAGGACGTGTGCCCCCAGAGCCGACGCCCCGTTTTGATCATGAGCGCGTCAGCGGTGGAGACGACGAGGTACATCGTCAACGTGTTGTCCGCGTGGGAGGTGAGGAGGTATGGATGGCTGTATGAGATCGAGGTGGGCGGTTGTGTGTATGAGAGACATGGGCTAAGGGGCGCGGAGGAAGTACTGATGACGATGGAGTCATTTTTACCGCTGTTTCTATGGATATTATGGCGCGTTTTGCCGTTGCCTCTGTTATTTAGTATTTTTATTGTCGGGGAATTAAAGGGGCTGGCGCAGAATTGGAGATCGACCGTGGTTGCGAGCCGGCTTCCTAGGTTTTCACCATCATGGTTTAGTCGGAGTTCCTGCAGCCCAACTGACCATCCGCAACCTATTCGGGGGAAGCTATATACTATGGATGCAATGATTTCGGTAGCTAATGACCGGATGGAGAGCGAAAGTGGTGCGTATATATTGTGGGCTTTAAGGGAGGCGATTAGCGTTGGCGATTTCATCGTTTGTTCTTGGACTTCCCCCTTCCCCTTTGCAAAAGCACAAAATCGGTAGAGAGACACTGTTTGGTTCTGGGATAGTGCAAAGAGATACGAGGATGATGATGCAAGAGCAGTAATGGCGCCATTCGATGATGCGGGATGTGAGTAGCGGAAATGGAAACGCGCACTGTCGCAGCTTAAAGAATATACGCTGTAACTCCCATCCTCGAATCCAACAATGACTTCGAAATCGCCATGGGGGCCATCCTCTGCCGTCACGGAAATCGCCGTGGGTGCGCTGCAGGAGCCCTTCCCTTCCCTCATATCAGAAAACGACAGCTTAGCCAGACACAGTTTCGTGTCTCCAGTAGTCCACGCGCGAAGCCCATTACCCGCATCGGCTGTGAACACTACCCCTTTGCATAGTTTCACTAACACCGGCGGGACCGACGGTTGTGCGACCTCGACTTCAGTGACCCGGCAAGACCCTTTGGACCAGTTATGCCGCAAACGATACTGTTTCTTCCAATCCGTATTTTCTAGATTCGTAGCTAAATGTTCATGGCCAATCCACCTCGACGGCCTTGGGGTATATCCAATAGGCCTGGGCGTGGTGCTGGAGGCGAGGCCCGAGTCCTTAAGATGACGAATACGGCGGGCTCGAGGCCATACCCAGCGCGAGTAGTATTTCTGCTTCCATAATTCCGAATCGCCGGCGAGTCCATGGAATCGATGTGATAATCTGGTGCGGGTTTTCAAAACGCAAGTGTTAGGATGATCATTACCAAGATGGACAGAACATGGTATAAATAGGTAGAGCGTACCTCTGGCATATACTCAGCGACTGAGTAGGCAGGAAACTCAGGATATGAAGTATGAGCTCATCGCTCAGTCCTGATAGAAGATCCTTCTTTCGAGAATCGTCAGCACGCACTCGCTTCTCCGGCGGCGCATTTGCTGTTTGGACGTCGTCAAGGCGACGTTTCGACATTTTACGGGGACGAAAAGGAATTCAAATAATCGTTAATCCATAAAAAAGACAGGCTACCAATACATATATCGATTCACTGTCTGACTGGGTGCGATGGTGCTGGAAGTTGGTTTTGGCGAGCGCCTCTTATCGGCGCAGACTTATCGCCACGTGATATCGTTCTGGTTGCACGCGCTCCAAGCGCGTCTTTCGGGCTCCCTCCGAAAACAGTGCACCACCACCGTGGAACGGGGGTTGGTCTAATTGCTTTAAGTCCCAGTGCGTTGCAATATTCTTAATACGTTTTCTGGGGACCAACTATTCCCCAGGCGCCCTAACAGCTGGGAGTTATGATCACCTCCATTATTCGCTATTGTCTCTGAGAAAGCCCCAATGGAGGGAGGTGATTTCAGCAATCTTGCAGAGCAGGTTGGCGGCCTCATCAACCAATGTCGACAATGGAAGCAAGAGAATGTGGAGCTGGCAACAAAGCTCGAAGAGCATGCGAAGCAGATTAAAGTTTTGGAAACGGAGAATTCAGACTTGCAACGACAGCTCGAAGCTATTGAAACGACTGACACTGACTCTGTTGATGAAGTAGAGAAAAGGCTACTCGAAAACAGACAGCAATATGCTCCACATTCGGTTATTCATGATCTCGGGGGTACAGCAGAGAAACCTGAAACGATTTCTTACGAACATTATGCGAGTCTAGCGAAGCGCTATGAGCAACTTTTTCAAGAAAATGCTAGCCTAATTGAATCCTTCTTCACAGTGAAGAAGAAGCTGAGGAGTTGCAAAAGCAAGGTCAATTTGTGGAACAAATGCTTCGAACGCGATACATTTGATGTTTACGTTCATGGGAAAAAGACTGTTTTTCGGAGGGACAATACAGTTGCGGCTCATCGCCCAGTGAGACACCATCGTCCTGGACAGAATGAAGCCGTATCTACATCCGGTATATCTACACTTGGATCTCCGGGTCAAATACGCCAACCCCACATGCATGAAAACGGTCTGGTCGAGGAGAATACGGCCATTGGAACATTGGAAAAGGCGCGAGAACCCCAATTACCCACCCTACCCAGTCCAAACACCCGAGCGGGAAGCGTTACTGGAGAGTCACTTCAGCAGCATTCCTCAGAGCTGAGCTCCTCGGATATAATGTCAACCCAAACACAAGATCCCCGATACGCTGTCGAGCCGCATATATTTCCAAGTTCTCCCCCCGTCGAGACCCCGATTTTCGTTTCGTCAAGGCCAGTTAAGGGGAGGGGGAGGGGAAATCAACATCCAGTGTTGAATAATGCCGCAGGCCTCCACGAGACTGGCAGTTTTACCACACCTGTTACTGTGAAAAGCGAGCCTACGTCAAGTAGCCCTCTTGAGAGGACCCATAGGACAAACAATAATAACGATATCGAGGGGGATAGCGACGATGACTGTTTAGATCTGAGTACCCGCGAAAAAGGCAAATTTGATTTTATACCAAGGGACCATGCTGATAGTCCACCTGCTCAACAATCAGACAATCGTTTTCCTGCCTTTGATGAGCGAGAAAATGTCAGAATAAAGCCACCAAATTTGGATCAGCGGCCATTAGCGGGAACCAAGCGCCGCTTAGCCCTTCAGCCGGTGAATGCCAATGTTCCTTCTATTCAACAAGGAGACGGGCATACCCCGAATCAAGGGGCCAAACGAAGACGGTATGAACCTAGAGGTGCTGAGCCAGTGCATTTAGTGGCAGAAGATGGAGAAGAAGCGAGTTGTCAGAGAGCGAATACGGGTCTTCATACTGGAAAACTGCACACGATCTCTAAAATTGAGATATCGAAATCCCCTGCTGCTGGTCGCCTCGAAGATCTTCTAGAAGGTGCGCCACGGCCACGACCAATACTGGCCTCCCCCTTTCGAAACCCTGAGGTTTCGGATAACTCACCCCTTGGAACCCCAAGTAAGATTTCGGCAAGGTCCATCACTCCCCGGACTGCTCGGCCGCAGGGTATCGAGAAGAGGGCCCGATCCGGGCGACAGCCCCCTCCTCCAACTTCGCGGAGTTTACGCAGTTCTGCCGGACCCCATCAGCCTCGAGCCGACGACGAGGTGGCACCAGAAGATGAACCATTTCGAGCTAGACCTCTTCATCGCCTCGGATTCGAACATTTCAAACTCAACCCAGAAAGAAACCAGGGACTTGATTATGCATTCGATGAGGTAGTTCGCAGGAAGGACCTGAGGAAATGCCTCCCGGGCTGCATCCGCCCACAATGCTGTGGGAAAGGTTTCCGCGCCATGGCAGAGCTCAAGGGATTCGGGACAGCCGGTAATAACGATGTATCTCTGGAGGATTTAGACCAGGAGGACCGACAAGTTCTGGATGAATACCTGGGCGACAATAGAAACGTCTTAGAGACAATGACGGAAAAAGAGCTGCGGGAGTTGCTTCTTGATGCGCGAACGAGACATCTTGCCAATCAGTTTGGAAAACACCGACACGTTCATGAACGAGGGCGTTCGCCGCCTGGGTTCTGGCGTACGGATATGCCTAGTACGCAAGAGCTGGAGCGTGATCGGGAAGAGGCGAGGATGGCTGAGCAGGAGAAGCTGGCGGAAAGATACAAGGAGGCGATGCGGCCAGGGGGTTTGTGGAAGTTTGCTGATGAATAAGTGAGTTGTGAAGTGCATCTATATACATATGTAATGGCTACATCCGGCTGTTTGCTATCCATATTGTTACTGGGGCATTTATTATAATAAGGAAAACACCGTTAATTATAAAGTACATCTAAATTTTAACTACTACCTACGGTGGTCTTCATTCAGTTTTGAGGTGAAAACCGAACCTGTTTGGAGAATCTAAGGTTTCTGATACCTTGTCTGCGCTGGAAAGCTCTCCGAATGCCTCGGCACCCAACCTGTTGATAGCGCGTCACGTGGAATCCCTCTCCGCTGCCGATCAACCACCCGCAACCAACACTACTCGACAACCACCCTTTTGGCAGATCCGACAGTGTCTGCCTTGACGCTTCACTGTCATATCGCGATGGAGCCCTTAAACAAGGACCGCAGTCGATTCCCAGCGGCTCTATCTCATCCGAGGAAACTGAAAGGACTGTATGAAGAATTTGTAACCAAAAATTCCAGCTCCATCAGCCAAATCGAATCCACCCTCCGATCCTTGTCATACATCATTCCAGGTATGGGCCCAGTATCCTTTCTGTTGTTGCGCGGATGCGCGGATGGGTCTGTGTTCTCGAACGTTGGCTAACCTGTAATTTTCTCTACTAGGACGTTTTCGAGAATCTGAGCTTGCTTCTGAGTCCCGTACGCCACCCCCCCCCTTTATGCACCAGGCTCACGAACTATGAGCGCATTTGGCAAACTAACGTCATATAGTTCATTCTGGGGTTCAGCTTCTATCGTTATACCATGATTCCCTCGTTTCAAGAGTTATTTCCCGGCTTCCTGCGACCATCACCCGTCCTAACCCTACTCCACATGCGCGATATACTAAATATTGGTCTTCGCGCTCCTCACTTTACCAACGGGTAGCCTTGACCTTACAGATGATTCAATATACAGAATTACTCTGGGAAATGATAGCCCGCCGTCGTGGAGAAAAAATCCGCTGGCGCGTGATCGTTTTTATCGAGGGCGTGAAGGCATTATGTCGATTGATATTACTCCGTCTCACGAACTCTAGACCATTGGTTTCTCCACCTTTACCGGAGAGGGAGGTAGATCCAAGGAGCCCTGAGGAAGAAGAAGAGAGTAATAACCTGTGGGATGATAAGTCGTCCCTTCATAGCGAAAGCGGATCAGCTTCAGACTTAAGTTGGACGATGCCAAGGACAGGCCTATCGCTACCGACTTTGCCGGATGTTGGCGACATTTCAAATTATCTGATATCTAGAGTCCTTACAGCCGATGATATAAAGCCTCCGAAAAGTCTTCTTCATCGAGTTACCGGGCAGGGCCAACTCGCTGAGGTGCTGTATATCATTCGCCCACTGATCTACGCGCTGGCCCTCCAGAAATGGCGCAACAATAAGAAGAGCTGGACTCCATGGCTTATTGGCTTTGGCATGGAGTATGGATGCAGACAACTTGCGAAGAAGGATTTCCGAGAAAGAGTTGCAGGCGGTTTACGGGCCTTGACGGCTCTAGAGAAGGAGGAGCTTCGGAAACGGGGTTGGGCAATGGGCTGGTGGGTGATGAGGGGAGCGTTTTATGAAAATATTACGAAGTACGTTCTGGTCTTGTTCAATTCCTTATGCGCCACTGAGTGTGAAATTGTTTACGGATGCTAACCATATTGTGTGCGTAGGGTTTGGCTGCAAAGTTTCGCTAAGAGACTAGAAGGCAAGCCATTAATTGGATTGATCGGAGGTATTGTGGAAGACTACCAATATCTCTGGGATACTTATTACTTCCCAACAGCCACTCTCTGATCCGAGAATCTTTCCCTTTGTTATTCAAGAGTCTGAGGTTTCAACTTCCTAGTTTATGGCAATTCCCCTTTTGTTTTGGTTTATTATAGAGAACGGGCTACGTGTGTATTATAGGGGAGCATTACAATGTGCGGGATGCATCATTTCTTTTTCGTTTTAATGGAGAGGCAAACCTAAAAGGGTTCCTCCGTTATAATTTGTCATTATATCGCCATTTTAAAGCGATAATAGAGTATTAATGGGATATCAAATTTTTTGAGCGTTTTCAAAATATCTCCTGAGGCCTTTGGCCGTACCAATCTCGTAACTCGTCATTTTCCTCATTATTCCCAGCCCTAGTTGCCGAAATTGAAAAGAAATTAGTTAACCGTTGCGCCTCCTCGTCTTCCTCAACAGGCCAGTCCACTCTGACCCCTGTTTTTGATTCGAGTAGTTCCCTCGCAGTCCCCCAACTAAATCGACATTCATACCCCCATCCAAATAATGTATCCATATCATTCTTGAGCCATGAAACACATTTGGAATCAGAAGGATAGCCGCTACCCCAGCCCTCAGTCGCGCTGTCTTGCTTCACGGTATCCCGCTGTTTCAACAGAGCCTCATAACATATCTCCAACGCCACGTCCCTCGTAACTTTTGCGCAGATACTCGCTGCACTGACAGAGGGATACAGCGAATCCGCCTTCTTGGCCACCGTAATCTTTAGCGAGGGGAATACCCGCTCCAACTTCCTTTGGTATGTTTCTGGATTCCCAATAGTGTCGATATATACCTCTCTCACGTTAACTCCCTTCTCCTCGACAATACAGCGAATAAGCTCTGTTGTTGCATCCATGGCCTGTGCGTTGAGATTATAGTTTCTTGTGCGAGGTCGAAGCATGCCTGCAGATATGTCTCGTGCTGACATCACCTTGACCCCCCAGCCGCAGGATGTGCTCAAAGAGTTGTCGGGGCTACAGAGGAGGTGCATGAGGTTTGATCGGACGGCGGGAGTGAGCACTTTGCTATCATCGAAGTGATGCTCTTCTGCTAATAGGGAGTGGTGGAGTGATAGTGGGAGGTAGAATGCGCTGTAAACCATGGGGCCCAGAACGGGGCCCCTGCCAGCTTCGTCAACACCGAGAACGCATGGGGTTGGTTCAATTGAGTCTTTTGAGGATGTTAAGGGTGTTGTTGACGGGGTTATGACTGGCGGACACGGTGAGTAATGTGTGTATGAATCTCCAGCTAGGAGGGTAGAAGCGTGTATTGATGGCGGTATAAAGGGTACGCTGCTGGGCGAATCCTGACTATCCATTGAGGAAGGTGAGGAATGAGGCGATGGTGTTTATTCCTGTTGTATGGCTGGTATTCAGGGCTCTTTTTACTTCGCCAATGTGTGTCTTTATCATAGGTCAGTGATCCGTATACTCCGTTCATTGTACAGAGTACAGAGTAAAAGGAGACGTGACGTTGCTTAGCTAAATAACACGCGTCCCCCAGACCGGGATTAGTGCCGTTTATTCGCGTTGGCTCTATTACGGCATTATGCTCCCCTCCCACGGCGCACCAACAAGGCCCAGCAGCACCATATACAACAACAACAACGACGCAGGGGAATATATATCTGTATTGAGCGGAGCCCTTTCACTTTCATTGTCGCTGCCGAATATCTCCTGCTTCTTGGGCCATCGCCGCTGATCGCGGACATATTATGCTTTCCCGACTTTAAATCTTCAACAAACCATTACAATTCTGCAATATGCCACCTCGAGGACTTGCAAAAGCTCGCGACTTCGACTACTCCAATGTGGGTAAGGCTGGAAGGTAAGTACTTGAATTCTCGAGATTCGAAGCTGGATTGCCATTGCGGGAATGCGCGCAAACTGCGACAATATTTACTAAGGTTTTGGTATCTTCCTATTAGGCGCACGGGCATTACCTTAAAGGAAGGGAAACTCGATGAACATGGCATGGAAGAGATTGAGGGGATGTTCTCATCGCCGGAGAAATCCCCAGTTAGGACTAATGGCCATGGCTACGGAAACGATACCCTAAACTCAGAGGATATGGAAACCGGAGATAGTACGTTCCCCTCCCCATCCCCCTCCTCAACAAACGCAGAGGGTTCACTAGGGTTTAATAACGTTTGCTGTGCAAAGATGGATCCTATATACTCATTTCACTCTAGGTAGCATCCCGGAACCGGCTGACGTACTTTCAGGCCGACGTGTGCAACGAAATCCCTTGCTTTTGCCTCCTCGATCGCGCTCCCCGATGAAATCAAACATGTCCGGTTCCCCGAGAAGAACTCCAGGGATCCGGTCGTCCTCTGTTGCCCATTATGGCCCATCCTCCAGCCCTATTTCTGCACGGCCATCAGCCAAGCGTGCTCTTGACTTTTCTCATGCGCCACGCTTGGCCAGGTCGCCTCCCGATATGCCTTTAGAAGCTGACGAACCTGCGGACTTCTCGGATGACGGCAATCATTTAATGGATGATGAAGCGGAGGATACCCACTTTGCAGAGTCGCACGGAGATTATCACGAAGGCTACGATAATGTAGATGGAGACTCACCAAACCCTCAGAATCAAGATGATGACGACGATGAGAATGACGCACCAGTTGAGGACCCAGAGGACCCAGAGGATACCGGAAGCGAACCTTCACCTTCAATAATTGCGAAAACGGTGGGGAGGAAGCGCAAGAATGCTCAATCAAAACCCAAATCTTCAACCAGGACACAACAAGAACGTGAAGCGGATTCGGAGCCAGCCCCTAATGCATCAGCTAAGCCCGCACCAAAACGACGAGGAAGAAAACCCAAAGCCGCAACTACAGAAGTAGATCATGATGTCGAGGAGGACGCAGATGGCTTCAGAGCACCCAAGAGAGCGAAAACAAGTGGTTCAAAGGGACGATCCAACCTTCATATGTCCGTCGAACAAGAACAGGAGCTAAATTCAGTTGTGGAGAACATCACAAACCGAAATGGACCACTGAAAAACCGAAGTTTATATATACTTAAAAGAGAAACGCCCTCAGATCAATCCGCAAGGCATACCCGCTCTGGTCGGGTATCAGTACGCCCACTTGCGTATTGGCGCAACGAACGGTGTGTGTATGGAGATGGGTCTGCGGAAGTTGGACAACGCTTCCCATTATCGACGATTAAAGAAATCATTCGAACAGAAGAGCTGGATACGAGAGTAGACAGGAAAGGGAAACAGTCATCCAAGAAGAAATCTAAATCCAAGTCCAAATCCAAAAGGTCTAAGGACGACCCATCTGATGATGAGGATGAGATAGATAACGCTGAGCCATGGGAAACGGAAGAAGGGGTGTTTTACGGTCCAGTAAAGAAGTGGGATCCAAAAACCCAGAGCGCCACGCAGGAAGAGGAAATGATAGGTGTGTTGCCTCCGTTTGAAATAGCTTCAATGGAAGGGCTACTTTTACTAAATTTTGGGTATAGATGTTGCCTTTGCTCCTTCTGCAATAGAAACGCATGAAGTGAAGGATTCCACATTCCGATTCGCGAAAATACTCAACAACGTTTTTCTAGGTTCTGGATTTGTTGATATGCCCCCTGGCGCTGTTAAAAGACAAAAGAACTCTAAGAAAATGCACATGGTTTTTTTTGTCTACCACGGCCGAATACGGGTTGATGTGTCAGGACTTCAATTCAGCGCTGGAAAGGGGTGCGTTTTTCAAGTTCCCCGAGGTTAGTATCCGCAACATTTTTCTTCACGTTCCTGTTTCCTCCACCTTCTACTATTCTTGCCAGTCAATTTTGCTACCATTGTAAATCGCAATATTAACTTCTGACATTGTTGACGTGGGGATTATAGGAAATAATTATAGTTTTGCCAATGATTATGACAAACCCGCTGCGCTCTTCTTTACCCAGGGGTGTGTTCCCCAGAACAAGGAGGGTGAGAGTGATAGTGCCGAGCCCACTTCTGTACCTGTAGAAGCACCTGTGCAGGCACCGGCTGGTGCAAAGAGAGGTAGACCGAGGCAGCATTGAGCGCGCTTTTATTTCGGTGATTGTTGGTCTCTAGTTAGTAATCAAGTGGTTGTTGGTATGGTTATGGGTGGATGTGCTTGCTCACCCTATTATTTTTCTTACCTCAGTTCAGCGGATACTCGGGGGTCGCATTCTATGTCGCTCGGGGTGTGCGGAGTACTCTCTACGCTCTAGCTTGACGCTGCATTTATGTCTGGCGTTTTGGTTGGCATTGTGCATTTCAGCAGGTTGTTGAGATCTCATGCCTTGTCGGAGAAGGTATATTTCGCGGCATAATTTATTATATTCTATTGAGAGTGTATATTTTTACCTGGTGTATCATCGAAAGAGCGTGTATTTGCTTTGATATCTTTATATCCACGTATATTCCCCTAAAGCTGAGAGCAAGTATTCGACCCTGCTGTGTGGTTTCTTAATCAGCGATCTCAATCACATGACCGTGTGTTGCTGCGGCCCGAGCACCAAATCCCAACCACTCATCCAAAACTATCGTGAGGGGTTCAGACAAACGACCACTCCTCCTACGAACAACATCCGGGGGGCTGGATGTATCAGTACATGGGTATTTTCAAGTGTGTGCTATGAGCCAGTTATCTATCTGGAATCTCCATACCTAGTTGGCGTGAAGAGATTCCTCTTTTACAGTGACGTCGTTTGGTTTTGCTCGAATTTCCAGGATTCCAGAAGAAAAGAGCCTGGTGAGAACATCAATTCCTTTCAGGCACCAAAGGACCCGTTTATTGTGTGGATGAGCCTTGTTCACAAACAAAGAATGGAAAAGAGAGCTCCGTGACAGGCCCCTTCGATTCTCAAGGTTCTCGACTCCCCCTACTCTCGCCCTGGCGGTCCAATGGCGTCCAACCGTTCACCGCCTTTGGAGCATATGAGAACTAAGGCCAACTCACCAAGAATACCAAGGAGAGAGGCCAGGACGTGCAGCAGCGCACAAAACAGTATTTGGCTGATTTTAACAAAATTCCTTCCCACGAGTTAAGGGTGCAATTGGCCTTCCAAAACCCTTTCCCGCCTCAACCGTGATCAGCGGTATCACGCATATGTATGTCTAAGGGTTGACCGCTCTCGCCTTTTGGTTCTCTTCATCGCTCGGTCTCTGCGTAAGAAACCGCCTCACGGTAATTGAATAGCGTGGGACTGTGGATCAGGTTCGGTTATGTACTATACCGATCCTGCATGGCTTCGTTGGGCATCTATTATTATTCAAAACCCTACATACATGCCGTTCAAATTTTCACATCATCTCTGTCCCGGGAAAGCCAGTTCATGCCTCATTATTTGTTGTTATTATTTTTTACGAGGGCTTGGTCCACCGCCGCCGCTCAAGAAAAAGAAAAAGCATGTTGCTAGCTCTCAAGTAGCATTTACATGTGCATGAGTAGACTGGTGCAGCCTCACTATGGTAATGATGCATACTTTTAAACAAAAAATGGGAGGGCGGACAAAAGTTGCCGATATCTTGAAATTGTCGAGCTTTGGATGATGAGCTGGATTAAAGATACAGGCTCCTTTTTTCCCCTTCCGAGCCTTTCCACCCAATCCTCCGAGGTGGACATGTCGGAAATCCAACAGACGGGATGCATGTTCCCCCTGTTCTGGTTCATATTCCCTGTTTCCTGACGAATTGAGAGTCAGGTTCCAAAAGCGTGGCACCATCAACGCACTTTGACAACTAACAAGGTTGTTTTCGAGTGCGCTAGACCTTACGCTGGTGGGATGGCGCGAACTGCTGTCATATGAAAAATGGACTGGTGAAAGTTCGCTCTGTTCTGTCAAGGCTGTATGGAGAGCATCCTCAACGTGGACACGGTGGCGGAGCGGATGTCAGAAGGAATTTGCTTCCGCATCGTTGAGACTGGTGACAACGTATCGGGGATTCCACATTTTAACCTTCATGGTTCGTGCTTTCACGTCTGCAAACACTTTTTGGCTAGCTATGGTGTTCGCTGGGGCGATCATCAACATCATCCTCCACCTCATCCGCTTCCACCCCCGCTCGAGGGATGATGTCAAGTTTTTTTCGGTTCGTGGAATCATGGATACTTTGATTTTGCCGCATTTGATTTGACGCCCTCCGTTCTCGCAATGCTCGTCTAGCACTATCCGGAAACCAACTGCGTGATTTGTCCACCTCATCACGAATGAATTTGTCACTTTTATTCCCAAGCCCCCCAAAAAGCCTGCAGGGTTGGCCTGCACCAGGAAAGAAGCCTCGTCTTGACATGCACAAACAAGTCAGCAAACCGCAATGGCTGCCTCCTGCCGTTCCCAAAATATTGGTTCGCCCATCGGATGATGACGTCTCGACACTCCACGTTCCCCAGGCTTGTATCAAAGTTCTTTCTCTTGGTGGAAACGTGGACTCTAACCAAAGGTGGGCTCGTTCAACTCTTTTACGACCATGGCAGTTTGGAAATTCTGGAGTAGAAATATTTTGCGATTGCGACTGTTATAATATTTCATATTCCTCTGATGGTAATATATAACATGTTGCAAATTGTAGCTTTATGTTTTATTATTACTATTATTATTACTTCGTTGACATTCCGCTCCGTTGAAAATTTGCTTTAAAAACTACTCTTGATATTAATAGTACTATCAAGCCGATAATGACAGCAATAAGAGGCGTGGCAGGGTGATCTTCTATCATGGTCAGCTGGTTCAAAATATATTTGCCACCGACGAATTCCTCTGGAATCCTCAGCAGCCATTCATTCATTGCCAGTGCTCCACTGGTTCGTCAGGTGCTGGGTTACCGTCGACGGTGGTCATGCTCTACATAAGCATGAGCTTCTACAAATGCACCCTAGGACGGGACAGGCCAATGACGCTGCACAGTAAACATTCCCTTCCTTCAGGGCACCATACGTCGGAGGCACCTCCCTCCACCTCTCATTCCAGCTGCGAATTCTTTTCCCTCAACACAAGAGGTATTTCTGTCGGGCGTCTACCGCCCCTTGACCAAGGTGATTGAACTGGAAGGAGGCGGAAATCAAAATGACCATAGTGAATTATTCGGCCCTATATCTGCCCGAATAATCATACCCTATGGATTGTGCAGACCCCTTTGGGCCAAACGTTGCTGAACCCTATTAATACAAGGGATATATAATCATAAATGTGAAGCCCCTTATTCATTGGGGAATACTGCCTCACCTCCCAGGTAATCACAGCCAAAAATAACTCCAACGACAGAAACGAGCCATCAATGATGAATCCATGCTGCCAACAGGAGGAAATCCGCCCAATCAAGTCAAGACCATGTACATGTACATACATATCCTTCTTTCGGCCTGAAACACCGGTGCCCTTCACAATCGTTACAAAGGCAACCCCTGAAGACAAAAAAATTCCATAAGTGTAGATACTATATTGCGGTATGGTATATACATAATAACGAGGCGAGAGTGACGAGAAGTCTAGATCCGTCATCCTTGGCTCGAATTCGACGAGGGATCGATCATATTGGTTTTTTCTGGTTTAAATAATAATAGTATCGATTCTAGCCCCTTTATAATCGCAACAATTGGTTGGAAATCCGACGGGGTTTTTTTAGGATGATACGGAGGAAATCAGGAAAATAATAAAAAATAAATAAAACAAAAATAAAATAAAAAAGAATCGACCGACGCAGGACTCGAACCTGCAATCTTCCGCAGACTGGAAAGTCGGACGTGAATCCGGTGAACCGGAAACGGATGCGTTAGCCATTACGCCAGCCGGCCAGTGATGTTGGGTTTTCTGGGGAAGTGTGCGCACACTAAGTTAAGCTGTGGTGGAGATATTGTAGTTAGGTTAGGTAAGTTAGCAATTAACCGAGGTAACTAATCTATCTAGCCTAGTTCGCCAGATCCCGGGCCCCATGCCAACCTTATGCTGGCTGAACCTTGGTACGATCCGGGCTGGGCGGTGGCTGGATTGGCCGAGGCTACGCTACGGTAGGGCTTAATTAACTATTTAAAGCCAACATCATCAAGATATATCATATTGCAATTTACAGATATTTCTCTGATAATATCAATGAATGATATCACAACTACAGTTCTCCCCTGGTCTAGATTGTGATTCTGCTAAGATATTATTTGTCCCAAACTGGTTCATTCTCAACACCTCCAGCAGGAGGATAACTTTGCAACATCACCATTCTGCAGGAGACCATTTCAACATATCATTCATTTATCTCTTTACTTACTTTTGTGTTTATTTTGCCACTTCAAAAGCGCAGATATATACGACATTGATCAACTGGCCTCAAGGAGTTTTTGCATAGTCAATATAACATATTCTTAAATGATATTACTTACTCCCATTGAGCAGCACAATTCCTCGATCTTTTTGATACAGGCATGTATTTCTTGATCCAGCACGGAGTTCTAACTGAACGATATTAGCGTTCCTATACAGTACAACCCGTGTTTAGATAGAATCATCCCCAGCAGTTCTTCTTTTATAAAAAAATAGAAAACCCTGCTGAGAAAGATGAAGTCCCCGAGCAAGGATCGCAGATGCATTCCAAACGAACATGTGGCCCCCTTCCGCTCAATCATTATCTGCCATTAATATTTTCTCCATGTAATACCATACCGGATGACATGTAGTTCGTTCCAGATGGCATATATTGGGGCTCCTCATTCAAACTGCCAACATTCTGCCTCTCTCTAAATCTTGTCTGGGTCCTTCAAAATCGTTCCTGACTTCAATCATCAACTTTTGCTTGATCCTATTGCTTGTTAGCGTGATTCAGCTGCTGAGTGGTTGCTTTGACATTTAGCTTTCATGGACGCGTCTGGAGGTTGTGCTATGTTACATGTACATAGAAGAGCTGGGGAAGAATAGTTCACAAAAGCTTTTCAGTTAACATCCCTTGTGTAATCTATAATGAGGTTGTATAGATGTGGGGGTGGTTCGTGAACTGATCTTGTTTGGTGATTCATATTCCTTTGAGTCTACTATTGCATATTAATAAGTAACTAATTAATATAGTTATGATTCAATCTGATCAAACTACATTGTTACCTCTGAATAATTCATGTTGTTATTATTTTGTTAATTTTTATTTGCATTTAATTTAATCATTTTTCATGTCCCTGTGTTAAGTTAGTTACTTGTCGGTGTCAAATTTGATACACTTCTTTTCCTTCTTTCACCAATTCACAGCCAAGCCCCTGCGCGGGTCACAACCAGGTCGTCACCAAGCAATCCCGTTGTCCAAGCCAAGTCCGGGAACAGCTAACTAGTTAACTAGCTAGAGTCAAATGAAGAAAAAAGATCACGAACAAGCATCCATCGCGCGATATCAGGCAGCGCCATTATTGTTTTTGGGCCGTGTCCCGCGCCCGGAATCTCCAGCGGACTAAATTCTAATCAGGCGATATAAAACTTTTCGGTGGGCAAAGGGAGTAGGGAACTCGGGCAATTGAAAATTCACTATGGCCCAAGTAGCTGCTGTCAAGCAATCATTTAACTTATGTAACTATGCCATTGTGTCATGGGGACGTCCCGAAGACTCACAGATAACCGGGGCGTTCGCTGTCGTCGGCTGTTGGTTGCAACACGGCGGTCATCCCCAGCACGCCCGCCAATCATCAACAATGCTGCACAGTTCGACCCGAGCGGGAGTCACTAACGGACTATCAGGTTGCGAAAGGCTTTCTTCTCCAGCCCTGCACCCGCGATGGAGCGGTTCGTCAGCCGCATGAACGCTTCTTGGGTAGTGTGATAGGGAGAACGCTGGGGCGAGGGCGGGAAACAGCACGAATAAAAGAGCGCAGCAATCCGGGAACGGAAGATGTGTCTCATCTAGCCAGCCGGCCTTCGTTGCCCAAGTTTTTTGCGTTTGCGGTTCCTTCCAGCAGTTCCGTGATGATTTGCATGAACTGCATTGGCGAACTGCTTTTGGGGACGGACTAACGATGTGTAAACAGCCACCAGCGCCCATACACAGCCGCAACGCCCGGGGTTTCTCCCAGCTGCATCCAGGAGGTAGTTCTTTAAGGGATTGGCCGGAGCGATTTTCACCCAACGTGAGATGAACTAAGGCAACTTTATTTTCGGGCTTTGTTCACCTTATACTTCCTGCCTTCATCACGGCCCAAGCCTGGGATACAGTCGCCTCTTCGAAGTCAGGAGAACGTCTTTCCCACTCATTTTTTGAACAATCGGAATTTTTTTTTTTTTTTTTTTACACCATGCAGCAGTTATAATCCCTTGGGGTAGTGGGCGGGCAAGATTACTACTGGCAGAGAAGTCAACATTTTACATGCTTTTTGGGCATGCGTATTTACACTCCAGTTGGGCAAACAAAATTTCAGACCACTAGACGGCAGATTTCTCCTAAATTCGGGCGCTTTGTTGATGTCATTTCAGCTCGAAGTGGCAGAGGGGTTTGCGCATGGGGGATGGGGTGTCCTGCATTTATTTCTCGGCGATTGAACCATCTTGAGGCATGGGCAATCGAAGATCGATTTATGTGAAGTAAAAATGAAGAATGTAGCGGTGACTTCACCGCTTTCGACCACTCCCTCCTGTCCATACTTAATACATTATGTATCACATTGATAGCCCTTTTCTCTATCCTTAGGGGGTTTTTACCTTTGCGTAGGAAGGAAGAACCCCGCTGATATTACAACAGCGAAGATCATGCAAAATTAATAATATACATACTCTGTGCATACAATCATATAAAAATGATGATATGGGTGGCGTTTCAGAAGGAAAAAAAGAAAAGAAAAATTCCAAGACGTCGGGGCGATCTGCTGGCCGGATGTCGGCCTGATAGTTACTAGTTACTAGTTACACTACGAAGATAGTTAGTTACATGCCACATGGTCGTCGTCGCGAATATGCTGTGTTGCCTTCCAGACAATATGGGAAGAAGTGGAATAACCTGCAGTATAGTATGTATGGACGAATTTATTCCATCTGTTATTTACTCGGAGCCTCCGGCCGACGTGTAATTCAACAACAACGCCCAGCCAGACACACGGTTAGTGTCCCGGCTAACTCTCAGATAGTCAGATATTGCCCCCCCATGCTGATTGAAAGAATTCTTCCGCGCGCCCTGTTTGGGGGGGTTCAATCCCACATCGCCCCACGGATTGCTGATGATGATGGCCGGAGCGAGATAGATGATTATTAGCTGGTCGGCGGGAGATGCAACAGTTCGTGACAATCCATGACAATTCACTGGATTCCTATGCCAAATCCCTGCTGCATAGAATCCGTTCATTATCATTTCTTTTCATTTCTTTTTTCTTTTTCTTTTTCTTTTTTTTTTTTTTTTTTTAAATTTGCATTACAACTTTTTACGCGGTACTTTCAACCGCCTGAAATTGAATATGACCCCTCCCTCTCCATGAAACTCCCTAGACAAGGACCCAGAATATTTGAGTTAAGATCATACTCCAAGGGCAGCAGCACTGTTTTGGTTTCCCTCGTTTACAATGCCAACTAATCTAATATCAACTTTCAATAGTTGCGAAAAATCTAGCATTTCCCCTGTCGCGCAAGTTTTCCGCTTGTTAAGTAAGGTAAGTCTTCTCAAGGTTTATATGTATGAGATCCCTTGCAAGTGAGGCTTCTGATGGAGACGTTGGTGGCACAGTCCCTTGCATTGTGCGATGGTACACACGATTTATACTTCTACAGGGGCTACGACTACTACACCGGGCCCACACACCACACCGTGTGTCGTGGAGTGAACATTCGGGGATTTTTTTTTTTTTTTTTTTGGTTCATTTTTCTGCTCACCGCATGGATATATTCCCTGATACGTCGATTGGCCAAAATGAAAAAGGGACAGTCACTGAGCCAATTTCTTATTTGGGGGCTAGTTCACACTGTTTTCAAAGCGAAGGATATGTACACCGCAACATGTATGTCGGACATTATCATCTCTCATAAGAGTGTTCAGTGGGTGACCTGACCTACGGCTGAACATACGATTTGAGAACCCCTCCTTTTTTCTTTTTTAGGGTACAGACCATCTAATAATAGGTGTCATATTGCGCGTAGCCACGCTATCAATTGCGATCATCATAGATCATGCCCTCAGGTGAAGATGAAAATTCATAGAGAAATAGTAGAAATGCAATGGAAGAAAAACCCCATCTCATTTAATTGTGCCCCAGCTCTGCCGTTCGACTTCACCTCAGGGCATGGCAACTGGGTTCGACCTACCACGTCCTGTTCGCCGTTGCTCAAGATTCTTCACCGCATGCTCCATCCAGCGCAAAAGCAGGGAGGCACCATGTATTTGCATGTACTGTTCATGTACATGTACATGCAACGTACAAAGAGTAGAGAAATTCCTCATTGGCGGAATACTCTTTAATAGTCTTTCTAGACGCCTCATTCTCAATTTCATGGGGGCGGCTATCTACAGTACATATTCCCATAGCCGCGATGTCTTCTGGAGGACGAGTTTTAGCTGCGATCTGCGCTTGTTCGGCAGACACATGTAGAACATTGGAGCAACCTCGTTTAATGACCGTCTTGGTTGGTCCTAGTGAAGTGAAGACACGAAGGAAAGTCGTAATTTTGAGTTCGATGTTTTCCATTCCCTTCTCAAGCTGCCGAGAGGTTCATTATGATTGAGGATAGAAAGGGTGTTGAAAACGAGGTGCGCAAGGACCATCGCCGGTCTTATTATCGCTTTAGTTTTATACAAAACATGTGCTGTACCTGCGGCCGTGCAACTTGCAGGGTGATTCAACAGATTTGAAGCATAGCTAGATGCTTTGTACTCTGTATCACCAGCGGAGATATATAGTGTCCAGTGTAGCTGGTCTATCTATCTCCCTTTTTTCGTCTTGTCTTTCGCTTTTGAGAAACCATTTAACTAACGGCTGGAGCTGCCTGCCCTATGAGGATTCCGACTTTGTAGTAGAGATAATATACGTGTAGATACGCAAATTTATATAAAAGCTCAATGATAATAAGAAACAGACAGACAGAAAGAAAAACTTCAGACCGATCTTTTCTGAAGTCGTAGTACTAAAAGCTGACAACGTATTGAAATAGAGGTAGTTAACGTTAAGGGCAAATACTAAGCCAAAAAAAAAAAAAAAAAAAAAAAGGAACTAAATCGGGTTGTTCACTTGGATCAACCTAGTATCATGTCAATGCATGTCATGAACGCAGCCTTTGTGACTGTTGTTATTATTTACAGCCATTGGTTTACTAATAGTATTTAGGACGAAGTTTGCAATAAATGGTCAAATCTAGGAGATGTGCGGAGGGTTGATGATCTATCTCTCAAAATTTATATACAACTGGCAAGGTGAATCTCATCTCATATATCAAAGTATTTAACCAGACTGACTGCGCAGCCATCTTTTTCCTCCTTGTTCTCCTTCGCTTGCAGCCAAATCCTGGATTATTTAGATTAGTTAGCGTTTTGTGGTTTTTTGTTTTTGTTTTGTTTTGTGTTTTTTTTATTTTATTCTCCTCCCCTTGACCCCGCCAGTTATCCGGGCAGGATTGGGGAAATATCATGGTCTCTAGAGAAAAGCAGCTCATGAAATAAAAAAAAAAAAATAAAAAAAATACAGAAGGTAATTACACTTTACAAAATCTTTCACAAGAGAAAGGGAGAAGAAAGAAAAGTTCAGCAGCTGCATTATGTTCAGCAGACATGAGACGAACGTACGTGTCACCCCGGAATAAAACAAGCCAGTTTTATAATTTTTATTTCTTAAATTTTTAATACTTCCACTTTTTTTATTTATTATTTATTTTTGCATTCTTCCGGGTCTTTTTACACTGCTCATCGCGTGTGGCAGCAAAAGGTTAAAGCGTAACGAAGGCGAGTAGACTCGGACTTGGTTTCGAGCTTGCAATGATGTGCAAGGAACTTTGGTCCAGGTACGAAAGATGGACCAACCGAAAAGCAAGATAGGGAGAAAAAAAAGTAAAATTTACATGTGAAATGACTTAAAAATTTCCTTTCCTTAGAAAAAATAATAATTGAAAAATTCAAGAAAAAAAAATAATAATCATAATATGTCGTATATTTAGCTGCTTCGGAAAGGCCCAGCTTTAACAAGATGCTGATAGTTGATTGATGTCTTTAACCCTGGCTTGATCCCGCTCGTCCTTCTTTCTTTCAGTTCCTCCTTGACATATCCACCAACAACAGGAACATGTTCACTTGCCCTGTCTTTTGTTGCCTGCTTGTTTTCTCCCGCTATTATCCCCTTGCCACTCGTGACTCAACTATAAGGCACGCAACAACAGGTGGAAACTGACGCCTGCAAGTTCGTTCGTGGAGCGAAGGACGACGGTAGCCAGTGATCTTGTAACATCCCAGCTTTCCCAACCATTGGTCAAGGACCCCCAAAGCGGAAAATAAGGCAGCACTAGTTAGACCGACTCTCTTTCCCTCGCCCTTATTTTTTATTATTTCTTGTCAGGGAGCTTCCCACCCTTTCTAGATCAGAGCGGTACTGTACCACATTGGGACAGACGAAGCTTTTCCTTTCCTTGACCTGGGCCCTTTCCTTTGACCGTTCATCTAGCCTGGTTTCCGCCCTATTGCTGTCGCACCCACATGGCGTAGGAGCGGTGGCGGATGATCGACTTCATCAGGTTTAAATCAAACTTCGCCGATATATTTATTCTTGCTCGCGTGCTGTTCACCATCTTAGGAACCAGATTCTGGAATATCTGACCCATTTCATTTTCCTTCCCTTCAGGGAACTGGTTTTCGATTCCTATCGATCATCTTTTGGGGTTGTCTTCTACGTCTCCCCTTCCTCCTGCCGCCAAACAGACACCGTGGCTGGATCGAGTGGCAAGTATAGTTTTCTCTCGCGGGTCACGGAGGAATTGGTAAATCCGGCTTAGACCAACTAGGGTGAGAGCACATGGACATCTTGCATATCCGTCAACAAACTCCCGCAGAAAAGGTGGATATCGCGTCGCTTTTGCAGTCTTACGATGAGGAGGCGGAAAAGAAGGATACAAATGCCAGGAACGTGAAATCGGACCGTGTAATCGCAGAGGCAGACGTGAAGTCTTTACCTGATCCTCAGGTCCCATTATCCTCAAGACCAGGAAAACGTCTCCAGCCTGCCCCGTCTTTTGAAATTCCGGCCAAAAAGCAATCGAAATGGTCACCCCAGGAAGATGCTCTGATCACAGAGCTTCGAGGCAACGGGTTAAAGTGGGAGGACATCAGCAAAATGCTGCCCGGACGAAGCGCCCTTAGCTGCCGACTCCACTACCAAAATTATCTCGAGCGACGGAGTGAGTGGGATGAGGACCGTAAGAACAAACTGGCTAGACTATACGAAAGGTAAGCTCCCCTTAGAAAAGAGTAACGCGTACATGTAAATACGAGAGCAGTTGTTGACTCAGACCTCATAACCACATGCAGATTCAAAGCAGACATGTGGTCCAAAATAGCATTCGAAATGGGTATTCCGTGGAGAGCAGCCGAAGCGATGCACTGGCAGCTAGGAGAGCACGAGATGGCGAGACGAGCCGGTGTATTGCCGTTCCTACTCAGGCATCCAACAACGGAGCAGCCACCGCCAAAGCTGCGCAGAATCAACACAGCAGCGTCGAGACCGAAACGAGATTCAGCAGTGCGAGGTTCGGGCCAACAGCTTCCTTCTGTTGCCGAGTTGACTGCTGGCGTACCTGCATACGCATCAGGCAAGCTGCGTGATCTTCATTCGAAGGTGAAATCTCCGAAATCGCCCTCCGAGCAAAAGGTTGGCCATCATGGAACACGCCCAAGTGCGAACACTCGTTCTAGGAAATGAAATGTCTTTCTTTCGAAGTAGTTGATAAGATAGGTTATGTCAGGACATGATTGCATAGCGTGGGTTGGGCGGCGGATAGACCGAGGTTTTGTATGTTTTTCTCCGTTTTGGTTCGTATTTTTCTTTTTCGTTCTTCTTCTTTCTCCCTAGTATTCCAAATCACATTTCGGGTTTTGCATACGTTGATTTAGTCGTGCTTAGCCATTTTCTCTTTCCACCCCCTCTCAAACTCACTATTTATTTCATTCGTCGTTTCCCCTCTTCTTATTCCTTTCTTCTCCTTCCCACTCCCTTCCTATCGCTTGTTGCTTTCAGTTTTTTGACTCTTCGTTAAATATCCCATTTAATTTTTATTATCTCCCCCAATATGTTCAATTGCGCTCCAACTCGAGACTGGATGCTTTATATAGCGGTAGCGACTTATATTGTTTGAATTCAATCCACTGGTTTTAAGTTTGCAACAGCCCACCAGTTGTCCTTTTCATATCCGTGATCCAAGACTTGACCACCGGCAGCAGCGATATCTCGTTCTAGCTCCTGCGATTCGTACAAATGATAGTAGCGATGAAAGGTCTTGGTCGAAGCCTCGGATTTGTCGTCCCCGCTTTTTTTTTCTTTTCTCACCCAGGGTACCATGACATCCTGGTCATCTCCAGCATCCCATCCCCTTCTGCTGTTCTTCTGTTCCAGTGCCCAGACGTAGATTAAAGCTTTGCCACCTTCATACCCACTTCGAGGTGGTTTGAGGGTCTGCAGAATACACTGAATAGCTTTAACTCTGCGCTCAGGCGTTGACAGGTGATGTACCACTGCAATGGAAATGGCAAAGTCGAAGAACCCATTCGGATGTGGTAAATTCAGATTGTCAGCGACAATCGAAGAGTGTGGATAATGCATGCTGGCAATCCGTGCCAAGGCTTCGGATCTGGATCTTGCATGTTTAGACAGGGATAGCAATGAGAATTGGGAGTTCCACGAGTACGAATCGCACTCGGGAAGGGTATCTATCATCAGGGACAAGAAAAATGGCCATCAAGCTTACCGGTCTGATGCAACAATGAAAACGCCGGAATTGACGGGTAAATATTTGCCATTCCCGCAGCCGATATCGAGGCCGATTGAGCCTGGCGGGCGTTCTTTTAAAAACCGCTCGACAATCGGCCAAGGCTACGCAGAGAACAAGAGTTTTTTTTCCATATTAGTGAGCTTGGGCAACAGACACCACAAACCTAGGCAGATATGAAATGAAACAGTCGTAAAATAGAAGATATGAACTAACCAACCTTGTATCGTGTGGAGGAGAAATGGTCTGCAATTTCTTGGTAAACATTATGAACATGCAGCTCTTCGTATTTTTCTGGGTCGTTCCCTTCCATGGTTCCTGCATGATTGAAATTAGCCATCGGGACAGAAACTGACAGCTCAAGGACAAGTCGTGAGACAGGGCCTCCCATTCAACTAACCCTTATAATATAGCTTTGTCAAGAATCGACTTGTGCCCAGGGAAATTGGCAGCTCGGAAGAGGTGGTGGTTGAGATATCCCCCTCTGTCAGCATCAGCGAAAAGCCGCCATTGGGGGCTCTGTTTAAGGTTTCGGCTATCGCGTCTGGATCGCGCTCAGGCCGCTTCAACCGCCAGATCTGTCACGTGTAGAAGATCGGTTCGATTGGGTCTGTACTCCGTATAAATCTCTCTGGGAAGGAGATTGCATTGGGCTTTACGGCATTGGTCGATAGTAGCGATATACAGTGTAGGAGATGGAAGTGTAGGAGTAGGAAGAAGGAGGTCCAAGGTTTCTTGTTCGTGTGTGTGTAACTTTTTTACTAACTACTACATACATTTCATAGAGTTCCCTATATGACACAATCAAAAAATAAAATTAAGTGGTACGGTGGCATTTCTATGAAGATAGTCCACGCTTTATATCTCGGGAATTGTTGTCTTATTCAATGAATTAAAAACTCTAGTGACAGAGGGCATCTTCAAATAGAAACCAGTAAAAACCACAGAAATTGGGTAATGCCCACCGTCCCTCAATTCCGTTTTTGGTACTATAAAATGTCCAATCGCGATTATCACTCGCGCATTTTTAGGTGCGCCGAGAATAAATGATTAACGGTCTCGTCTTGGCGGGGCCGTTGACCACTTAAATCACCTGATATTCCCCCTTCTCCAGCACCATCATTTTCATGTTGATGCCAACTCCTTTTAAGAAGCTGTATCAGACCATTACCTAGGAGGCGCAAAGCGGTTTCTTTAAAAAAAAATAAAAAAATTCATGAGTTTTGGTTCTGAATAGGTATATAAACCCTTGCATTGCCTGTGTATTTTTTTTCTTTTTTTCTTTCTTTTTCTCTTTTTTTAAAGCGCGGGGTAATTCTAACAACCAAGAACAGGGACAAAAATACCAGCGGAGTCTAAGCCCAAAAGAGCCAGCCATATAGGCCACTGTCTAGAGTCTTCAGTCTTTAAACATCTAGAGGAGGCTTCAGTAGAAGTTATAGTCCTTTAAAATATCCTCATCATGGCGTTTCAACCCACTCCCATGGACATCCCGGCAATCATTTCCGTTGCGCCAGGCAGCGGGGGGCCGGCGGGAGATACACCATCATTCGCCTCAGAACGTCGCATAACTCCGACGTGGACGGTGTCACAGTTGAAAGCTAAACTGGAGACTATGACCGGAATTCCGCCATCCAACCAGAGACTTAAGTTGAAATCCCCTGGTAGAGAAGACCAGTGGGTCGAGGGAGAAGATCGAGTCGTTGGCGACTGGGGTCTGGGTAGGGGATGCGAGTTTGAGGTATGCAACCGTGGAATGATGTCTATTTTATAGTTATTTATCTTTCGTTATTTCCATTTCATCTGCTACGGGTTTTTCCTACATTTACATTAATAATTGGGCTGTCTACCTGGCGCCGTTCATAAGATATCTCTGGGACAAACTGATGGATAAAAGCAATAAGTCACAGGGTGTTATGTCCTACGATGATTTTTGGAATCACATACTGCCTTTGGGGTATTTACATTTTGAATTCTCGCGTGCGCTTCCGCATGATTACTATCATCCTTACTTGCGCCTCCCAACCTTCCCTCTTCCCCCCTTTCTCCCCAGTTTACTCCCATTTTGAATTACCTATATGACTATTTGCCCCTACACTCAAAGCTAACCACATGGCCAGGTCCACGACACTCGACCCCCATCCGCGCGCCCAAATTTCACCGATCTCTCCTCAGTAGAAAAATACACACTCCCAACCTCAACCTACGAATCCCTCCCCAAAAGCGTTCTGTCATGGAAAAAGAATCAGAAACTGGGCCGCTTCGACCCAAAGGCGCTCTCCCCTGATCAAATGCTCAAGCAGCAAGTGGAAAAGGAGCAGCAGGAGATTAAACAGAGAGGTATGTATAATTGAAGAAAGCCAAGAATGAGACCTTCGCCGCTCTTTCTCTGTCTCTTCCACAAACTTTCCATTTTATATTTATACCAACGCGTAAACACACACTAGGCATCGAACTTTTAAAGCGGGCCATTATCCACCCCTCCACCCCACCCCATGTCAGGCGCGGGACAATCCGCTTCATCGGGCCCGTACCTACCATTCCTTCTCCGCTAGTCAAATCGTTATCATCATCAGCAACGGAGGGCAAAGACGCTAAAGAAGAAGAAAAAGAAGAAGAAGAAGATGATGATGATGATGAAATCACAGACACAATGGTACCGATCTGGGTCGGCATTGAACTTGATGAACCTACTGGCAAAAATGACGGGTCTGTGGGAGGACGTCGGTATTTCGACTGTCCGGACAAGAGAGGTGTGTTTGTGAAGCCGGAGAGGGTTGAGGTGGGTGAATTTCCGCCGTTGGATTTGGGGTTAGATGATGATGATTTGGAGGAGATTTAGGGATATGCTTTAATTTTTTTTAATTTTTATTTTTTATTTTTATTTTGAGAATTTTATGTAGCGAATCGACATGTCTATCTAGCCTAGTCGATCAGCTATACCAGGAATCCAGGGGTTTTTTGCCCAACGGATGGTAGAGTTGTGATGGTGGGTATGTGAAACGAGGTTTAAAATGAGGAAGAGTGCAGAGTTGACAAGGAATAAAATGCCAGAAGATCCGTTTTTTCGTTCTAAGCTTGGTACACACAATTCGAGAGGGAACAAGTTCGGCAAGTTTATTTAACAGGAAGTTATAACTCAAAACTTTTCCGTATACCTGTAGCTAAAAAGGATTGAGTATATATCAAAGATATTCAGATACCATAAGAAATAGTTCACCGCGTGGTGCACGCAGATAAATCCATATCATCTGCTTCATTTAGGCATGCCGCCACGACCTCCGACAGCTCCCACAGCCTCCAACTGCGCTGCACTGACGTGGACCTTAGGCAATGGCCGGCCTTTGGCCGACGGTTGACTCACGAACTCGATCTCTGCCAGGTAGCTCAAGTATCTGCCAACATCCTCCCTACTGATGCCATATCCGGCACTTTCGTCTACGCCAGTCCAATTCTCAGCATCAGCTTTCAAAATTTTAATGGCATTTCTATCATCGAGCTCGGGAGCTCGAGTCGTAGCTGGAAGATCGTTTACACAGAAATGATAGAGAGGCATTAGGGCGTGCTGCTCTTGATCCTTCTCTGGGCCACCAGCTGAAATGTATTTCTCCAGCTCATCCTTCCAAATGTCATAGTCGACCTCAGGAACTCTGTAGCCATAGAACTCGAGAAGGGACAGGTATTCGTTCATACGGAGACGTGGGTGGCCAGTCACATGGACGACATGCACGCCACTTGGGAGGGGGTTTAGAGCGGCAGCTACGACCACACGAGCGACATGCTTTACTGGGACAGAGTTGACGGTGTTGATTATGCGTGGCCGGCTGGATAATTGAATACAGCCCTTCAGCATACGGATCAAGAAGTCGTCGGTATTGCAAACACCTGTCTCAGCGTCACCTAGGATGTATCCCGGTCGAACAACAGAGCCCAGGAGGCCTCTCTTTCCTGCTGCGCGGACGAGCTGCTCAGATACCCATTTCGTTTGCCCGTAGCCAGTTCCCAAGCCAGTTCGACTGCCTTCCATGTCATCGTCTTCTGATATAGCATCTCGACCCGTGCTAAGGTGTTGTTGTGAGAGTTTAACATAATGATCCGTGTCAAGCACGCTCGTAGAGCTGACAAACGTGAACATCTTTGGTTTTCCTTCATTGCAAAGCCTCATCGCGTCAATCGTGGAAAGAACATTTGCCGCCATCATATCGTTGTATGGCCGAACCCAATGGACAGCCGCTCCATTGTGGATCACCAAATCGACTTCGTTGGCTAGAGTCTGCCAACTTTGCCGGTCAATACCAAGCTGTGGTTTGGATAGATCTCCGACAACGAAGCCTAGTCGGCCTGCCCATTCCTCTTGCCATAAGCCATAGCCCTGTAGGGATCTTCGAAGTCGATCAAGAGCAGCTTGGGAGTCCTTTACACCTCTCACGTGCACAGTCAGCTTGATGGTGCGACTAGTTCTCTCCAGGATATCTTTGATGATGTAAGAGCCTAAAAAGCCAGTTGCACCAGTAAGAAAGACTGTAGGGCAAGGGGATTTGCGGATAGCTTCCGGGTCCGCCGTTTGATATGTAGTTGGCAGTTGCTTGAGAAGTTCATCCCGGGACTTGGAGTAGACGGAATCTTTCTCTTCCTCTGTAGCGGCACCTGCTTTGACGATGCCTTTCTTTATATTGAGTAGTCTATCAACTTGTGCACTAAATCCACCTAGGCTGGGGTATTCGTAAAGGGTGTTTATTGGGACATTCGCGCCCATTTCTTTGCGGATGGTCAATAGCATCTGCTGGGCTAAGATGCTATGGCCTCCGAGATCGAAGAAGTCATTTTGTGGGGTAATAGTCTTTGGATTCAGGCCGCGAATCAGATCGGCCCACTTTGTTGCGACAGCTCGTTCCGTCTCGGACATAGACTCCCATCTTTCCAAGTCTTCTGAGGAAGCAGGCTCGGACTGTTCTGCAATATCAGGGAATGGGAGCTTCTGCTTGTCGACTTTCCCATTGGGATTGAGCGGTAGCTTGTTGAGAACAATGAAGATTGTCGGCACAGCGTAGCTGGGTAAGCGATCTTTCAAATGATCTCGTATCTCCGTTTGCATCCGCCTGAACCGTTTGGTATAGATAATTGCGGGACCGATATCAGTTCCCTCGTCCTCAACATCCTCGAGGCCTTGATCTTTCAACCATCGTGGCCACTCTTTCAGCTCAGGGACAATGTAACTGGCGAGTGTTGGCTCCTCATATCTATCTCTCCGGACAAGAGTCTTGCAGTCTCTGATTAAGGGATGTTGGCGCAAGTTATTGTCAATATCATTGAGCTCGATGCGGAAACCGCGGATCTTGACTTGGTCGTCGGCACGACCGGTACACTCCACATCTCCCGTCTCCAGGTATTTACCGAGGTCTCCAGTCCGGTAAAGTCTATCCCTTGGGCCGAAGTAGTATTTCCTCCAAGGCTCACCTTTGTTACTCTTTTTGTCAGCTTCAACCCACCTTTCATTGTCCACGAACCAGTTCAAAAGGAACTTTTGGCTGTTCAAGGCTTGATCTCCCTTGTACCCCTCCGCAAGACCAGCAGCACGGACGTATATTTCTCCCACTTCTCCAACCTTGCATAGCTTGGTACGATCATCTCGATTGACAACAAGGAGCTGAACGTCTTTCATGCCCTTCCCAGCTGGTACGGTATCCTTGAGTTTGTCCAGGTAGTCATGGTTCTTCGCCCGGCTCGGTATTTCATAGTAGCTTACTGCACGCTGCGTTTCGGTAGTCCCATACATGTTGACTATGTTGACGTTCACGGCAAGTTCCCTTAAGCTCCGACAGTCCCTCGTGGTCAAGACGTCGCCAACGAAGAAGGCTCTGTCTAACGATGGAAATTTTGCTGATGCGCCACCAACGAGAATCTGTCCCATTGCTGGTGTCAAATGAGTAACAGTAGGCTTGTGCTCACTCATCCATTCTGCAAGCTTCTCATGTTGGATATCCTCCTTCGAGGGAACCAACAATTGCGCGCCAAGAAAGAGAGGAGTGAAAATATCTCTTTGTACGGGATCATGTGCAATTCCTGACAGAAGGGTAAATCGGCTCTCTGAAGTAAGCTCGAACCTCTCAGCCATCCAGCCAAAGTATTTGGCTAAACTGAAATGACGGCCAAGAACGCCCTTCGGTCTTCCTTCACTGCCAGAAGTAAACGAAAGTGTGGGATTGCTATCAGGCCCTACGAGTGTAACTGGAGAGGAAGAAGCCTTTGACCTGACCTGGGCAAAGATATCCTGTCCATCAATCTCGCCCCCGGATAAAAGTCCATTGTCGTGAATACGTAATGATGGTACTTCCGCTTTCAATTTAAGCTCTTCATCGATATACTTTCGCACAGTTGGCGCCAAAGGGCCGGCCTCGTGCGTTGCTCTTTCAATATTAACCAATGCACAAGGCTGGGAGACCTCCAGGTATATTTGTTGCCTGGCTGGTGGGTAGGCAGGATCGAGGATGCTCATAGTTGCAGCGGACATCTACGTTAAAAAGGAGGAATTAGTATACCAATTGACCAGATAGAAGTAATCCAAGATAAGAAAACAAAGATACACAAAGAATTGGACATACCAAAGTCCCCATAATGCTAACAACCAAGTCGACAGACCGGTGCGCCCAGATCATCACAACATCGCCATTGGTGACTCCGGCATCGTGAAGGTAATGTGCGAGGGTATTTGATGCCTCATAGATCTGTCTGTAGGTGAATCTCCTCTCCGGAGCTTCCAACGATTCAGTTTCTACCACGCATACTCGGTCTGGGTATTTCTTTGCGTTCTCAGCGAAATGCGACTGGATTGACCCGACATAACCAGACCAATCCAGGTCAATGGTGGGGTCTGGTAATTCCACCATTGTGAAGGAGATGGTAAGGAATTGACGTCCAAATTCTCTGCAAATATACTAGAGAAAAAAATATTAGCCTAGCAATTCACCGACAAACATATAGATATTTTTGTAGGCCCATTGAATAGCGAGTTAATGCTGTTCATTAACGAAATGGAGGTACTCAAAAAAATAAAAATTATAGTCCTTGCGGCATCGGCGAGGAGTCATAGATGGAGAGCTGTGGATGACTAAGCGTCATCTTGATGCCCCGCCATTTAATTGTGATGGAGGTCTAAAGAGTATGTATAACTATATATGCCCGAGACATTAATAATATAAAAACATCAACTCTCAGGGCTGTATGCCTGAGCATATGCCGATTTGCCCAAGGCAAGATTGCTTCTTAGAGATATGTAACGTGTCTTTCGGGATCGTTCTTCCCCTATTTTAACCAGGGTTGCTTGAAGCATTAGGGATACTATGTAAAGAATTATACGTTCTTGCGGCAAGCTTCCGGTTCATGATGCGATTAATTTCAATGGCATTTCTGGGAGATGCCCTTTTTGATTGCGTATATTTAACAATGCCGGATGTTCTCATTGCCCTGTATATCTGTTCATTCCGTGTCTCTACCATTTCAATCTTCTTTTGCGCTCTCCATCTTCTCCTTTCCAGTTATCAAGTAGCTGTTACCCACTTTTCAAGCTTGCTGAAAACCGCAGTTGCTGCAACATGCCTAACCCCCCTCTAGGCTCCCCAACATGAATTCGGAAGGGAAATCCCCAGAGCGAATTGGAAGCACTCGCAGTCTGGAGGAATATATAATGGAAAGTGGCGAGGTAGGCTTTACTTTGTTCGCCTTTCTCAGGCTTGAAGGACCATACGCGGCTTTTGACATTTTATTCCAAGTGGAGCAGGGATTCGATATTGTTAAGAATCTAGAGGAATGGAGAACAAAACCAAGCTTTGCTATCGCAATAGTGTCCTTACCTCTCTTCTGCATTCCAGAGTGTTTGCCCAGTGGTTGTTTAAGAAGTTGACATACTCTCCAGTTTGAAGCGGGCCCCGCCTGGCTTGCAATATTGCCGTGTTCGCTGAGGAATATTGGTCGACTGCAGCGAAGCAGGAGAAATCTACACAATTTTTTGCAGGCTTGCCTTTCAAGGATAAGTTAGACCTCACACGCCATATCCAACCCGACAGGAACGCTGCAGGGAAACCTCTGTATCAACCGATTTCAGTCATCGAGCATTGCTGTTTCCAAAGTTGAAACTGAGCACGATGATATGTTTGCGCGGCAATCTAACGGCCGATGGGTCATGGAGGATAATAAATGAGAACGTGACAGCGGTCAACTTTCGAAATAGTCACACATGATGACCGATATTTTGATCAAAACCCATATATGTTTATTTATGGCAGGCTGTGTTCAGAGCCAAAAAAAAAAAAAAAAAAAAAAAAAAAAACTAGCGAACTAGGAAATCCGAATACAAAATCACTAAATGGCCCCCTGAGTCCCACTCACCACCATACCCGCACCTATCAACCAGTCTCCCCTGGAAGTTTCTGATGCTGCTGCCATGACAATGAAATATGAACGGTGTGAAAGGAAATTCGGGGTTAACGAACGTAGATATTGTACGTGGTAAATTGGCGGTGGATGGACTTTTTAAAGGCATTGTGAGTTTTACTAACTATTAAATATTAATAATACAGCGTAGTACGTCCCCAACCACCAATGAATCTGAATATCCTCTTCCCTCCAGCGCTAAAAAGCCGCGATTGACGGGTGACGACGGCACTAACTACAGAAGCTTCCAAGGGCGATAGATAAATAAGTACAGTTGATGACCAAAGGTTTGGTATGCTAAATAACCCCTGATCGCGGCACCGTTGTTCCAGTTATCCAATCCGAGGACAATGATGGGTTATATAACTTAATTTTATTCAATGCCCCCCCCAACTGCGTCTTTAAATTTATCTGCTCTATTTCCCTTGAAATGAACAATTCCGGATATAGCCCGTTGTATTATCCAGAGTTTATGCCTACTTTGCTCTAAGTATGAGTAGGATACCTAGGTAGTTCGAGTTTGCCTCGGTCAATCGAGGATTTTACGATCATTGTAGAGGAGACCTAAGAGTAGATCATGAATAATGTATGTGAATGGGTAGCTTTGGATTTATCATTTTCTCTGTTAAATAAATAGCAAAGTTTCTTTTTCAGTGCTGAACATCAATGTTTTTAAGGGGCCCGCCAGTGGAGCTTTTATACATCTCACTCACAACTTGAAAACCTCACAGTAGACATAAAGAGAACATGAACAAGCACAATCACCCCCTCAGATAACAATTTCCAATATATCTCCAGCTTCAGCTTCCTTTTCAAAGGACAAAACAATGGGAAACCCCCTCCCAAACACCCCTCAAATCATCACCTCAGTAATCTACCAGCTGTCCAAATTCCATCCACCACCACCACCCTCAAGCGCGGTAGCAGCACCACCTCCAGACCAGAATAACAACAACAATACGCAGCGTCAACATCAGAACAACCCTCCTCCCACAGAAACACATGATAATAACAACAACCCGCTCACCCAACTCCCTGCCCCCGTCCTCTCAAAAGTAAAACCCCTCCTCCTAACTCTACATTGCCTCTTCCCCAACGAACTGCTCCTGGCTCTGGATATCCTAGACCGGAGGGGGATAAAAAGATATGAATATGAATATGGCGATGACTATGACGAGGATGTGTATGATCGAGGACAGGGGGCAGGAGAAGCAGAGCAACAGCAGCAGCAGCAGCAGCAGCAATATAGACGAGGAGGAAATACAGACGGGGGGATATACTTTGTCAACTCTTTATCCTCATCTTCGAGCATGATGAATACAACCAGACCAAATACCAATAATGCCAATAATGCCAATAAGAATAATAACCCCACCTCTAAAACCAAACCCCCCCACCTCGTCTGCCTAAACGCCTGGAACTGCTCCTGTCCCGCCTTTAGCATGGCCGCATTTCGATACTTGGATTCTGATTCTGATTCTGATTCTGATTCTCCCGAGCACACCACTGCTACTGCTACTGCTACAAGGACCACAACGGGGGCGGAAAATAGTGACCAGGAAGAAGGAGAAGAGGTAGAAAAACACGACGGGAGAAATAACCCTCCATCCTCAACATCAACATCAACATCAACATCAACACCTACACCTGCCTTCCCATTTGGCGGCACGCTAACCAGAGACTCGATGAAGAATACGCCCGTGTGCAAGCACCTCCTCGCCTGCTTGTTGGCGAACCAGTGTCCGGCGTTGTTTGGTCGTGGGGTTGGGAGGGTTTATATGGGTGGTGGTGGTGGTGATGGTGATGATGGTCGTGGTGGTGGTCGGGAAAGGGAGCGGGAAGAGGTTATGGCTGGGAGGTTTGCTCTGGTTTAAACTACTCCGTATGCAGTCTTGGGTTCTTGATTTTAATGGAGGGGAGAAGGGGGGTTGGGGTTGGCTTTTCTTCTTGTTCTTGTTCTTGTTCTTGTTTCTCTCCATCTCCCTCCTCCCCCGCTTTTTCCTTCATCTCCTTGTAGATCAGCATAAATCAGCGTTATCAGTTGTGTTTTTGTCAACCGAGGCTAGCTCTCCTATGTGTATTCCAGCCCCTCTTCCTCCAGTGTTAACTAGTGGTGATTGAGCTCTTCTGTCCCAGTAGCTGACAGTGTTTGGTTGGAGGTTCATGACAACATATCCATGATATTGCATTTCTACAGGGTGTTACGGGGTAAGGGTCCGCTTGAGCGAGCAGCTTAAAGGGTAGGCTGTCCTGTGGCAGATTGTATTGTATGTACATACAAATAGCTATGGCCCGTCGGGTTATTATGATCACCGGTTATTCCCTAGCGCTGTATTTTGTTCTACTAAACGAGGGTGGACCAGTGTACCGTACCTAGCTGTCCATAGATATATATCATCCCATCACATGAAAATTAAACCGCACACCGAAAAAAAAAGGCCAGCGCAGGGCCAAATCTCCATTCAGTTGGTTACAACCACCAGCTGCATTACTTTGAAAAGACTTTTCTGTGTGTCATCAGAAATAGAAGAGCAGGAAAAGAAGCCGTCCTTCATACCCGCTCCAAGCTTTCTATCTTGCTAACCCAAACCAAACGATGTCCACTTTCATCATCATACGGCACATCTATATAGACTGTTGCCTTCACTCAGTCACAACCCGCTGCAAAGAGAGATTAGGTATATGGAAGGGGAGAAACAGGGTGTGGCCAAGGAGTATAGACTCTAATTTATTTCATGACGTTTAAATTTTACATGAATAGATATCATGCTGCTTGACAGAAGGTATCAAGGGCATGGATGGGGACGGGAAGGGAGCTAGAATTAGCGAACCACAAGGGAGAAAGCGGAAGGTGATGGAGGGAAAAGGGGAGGGGACATGATAGGGCGTGATAGATTTTAAGAAAAGAAGAGCGATGTAGCAATGAGCATAGAAGGGAGGGGGAGGGGAAAGTAACGAAATCATCCCTTCTTTTTCCCCTTATCCTTCGCGCCCTCTTGCTCCTCCTTAGAATCGTTGTTGCCAGGCGGTGACTTGGAGTTTTTGGTATTATTGGTGTTATTATTGCCGTTGGTATTCGTCATGGGGCCATTCTTTTCTTCTTCTTTCTTGGCGTCTTGCTCCTCCTGCTGCTGGCGGTTCTGAATCTTGTTCTCGATAAGGTCGTGGAAGGCAGTAATGGCTCTGATCAAACTGCTGAGGTAGATGGCCATAAGTTGGTCGTTGGTCTTGATGCTCATGGCGCGTGCAAGCTCCGTGTTTTCGGTCTGTGGCTGTTCCGTTCCGTTTACTTGCGTGTTGTTTGCCTTGGGGGTGGAAAGATTGGGGAGAAGGTTGAAGACGTCCTGGAGGTTTCCGAGAATGGCGTGGTTGACGGGCAGGTCGCCGTCTAGCACTTTTTGTAAATATTGCCCGATGTCTCGGAGCCGGAGATGGAGGCCTTGTAATGATTGTAGTTGGGAAGTTATGCGGGTGGAGAGAGTGCCGACAGCAACGTCTCTTATATCCCTAAGGAGGTGTTCAACGCCAATCTCTTCTGCTTCTTCGGCTTCGATTATGGAAGGGGTATGAACAAAAGTTTTCGATGTGGTGGTGCCGTCCTTTTTGTTCGTGAAAACGTATCAGCATACGCAACATACAACCAACACCACGATCGAGAGAGCAAAAACAGTGTGCACACTCACATCTTTGATTTCCTCAACAGCAAAGTAGGCATCCGTAGGTACGCCAACCTCTTTTGGTTGCACGTCGATGATTACTAGTAGGGGATTTGGTGTGTATCTCTTGAAGAGCTCATTTATCTCCAGATCAGCGGCTCTGAGTTTGGGACCGGAGTGGTACCATCCAATGAGCTTTTCACGAGCATTGATCTTCTTGAACATATCATTCATCGACTCGACGAAATTGTGGTCTAGGAACCAGACGGAGGGATCCTTGTCATCTTCCTCGAAGGGTACTATATGTAGAGGTCGAAATATTTGTGTTTAGCAGAAGGACGGGTATGGTATGGGAGCAAAAGTGAAACATACCAGCAAAGCTGTTCGAAACCCTGACATTCTTGCCATCGTTTTGGCCCAGCAGTACTCCAACTACCCGCCGTCTCGTTCCCTTGGCTGAGCGTCCGTAATGATCTGCGACAGAGAGGAGGACTAACGGGGCGACAGAGACAGTTCGTGTCACCATGGACAAGGTGTCTGCAGTGGTGGCAGGCATGCTGGGTTAGAGAGAGAGGGGTATACGGACAGTCCAGCAGCGGGAAGAAACGAGGGGAACAAGAGTTGAGAGATACGGTCGTGGGAGGAGTTAGGTTGAAGTGGTGGTGAAATAGCTGTGCTGTGCAGCTTTCAATGCGTCGGATTCGTTGAAGCTGGGGGGAGCAACCCGGTGATGCTGACTAACCAGGCTGTGGCTGGTTGGGGGATCAATACAATGTGGCTGACGAGGGCTCGGGAAAAAAGATCGCAGCTTGAAGTTGGTTGAATATTGCCGTAGAAATAATCTACAATGGTAGATAGATAAATGGAGGTGAGATAATACGGGAAACCTATTTTGAGTAGAACGAGCGTGTCAAGGGAAGCATGTATATATATATATATATAACTATATCAGTATTTGCCTTAAAAAAAAATTACATAGAACAGACCCAATCCGCTCAGTCTTTCCCCTTTTTGGTGCTTCAGCTCTCCTCCAGCCGAGCGCAAAGAAATAACGTTACTACTGGATTCAAAAAGGTTACAGAGGCATTGACCAGATCTTCGGCAATAATGTCGCGCGAGGGTGGATCTGCCGGGTTGCCTGGTCCGCCTGTTGGGGGGGTTTGTTGGTGCCTGGCAATGGGCCTATAGAACCGGCGTCCCTTGGAATAAGTTTAGCTGGCTTGATGGCTGGCAGGAAAAAAGTAAATAATAAGACGCCTGAAGCGCACCTCGGCCGTGTGGGAACTGCGAGAAGGAAAGAAAGCTGTGGTTTTGCCGTCGCTGGTTCGCTGGTTCGTTCGTTTCGTTTCCCATCCCAACAACCTCACTCACTTCTCCCGGTGTAGAGGGCAAAAAAAAAAAAAAAAAAAAAAAAAAAAAAAAGCTCCAGTTCCAGGTTCCAAACCCTCTCCACTCTACCTCCCACCACTATACTACAATAATATACCTCAATCAACCTACGCCACACATCTTCAACAAAACAGCAACTACCATTTTCTCGTTCCTTTCCTTTGTCGAAACTGAGCGACTGCTGGACCTCGAGCACGCCGGCCGTCTTCCGTTGACGTTGACTCCATCCCCCCCAATCTCCACTCCATTTCCCGTCTTCCCCCATCTCCCCGACACTTCGTTCCACACAATGGCTCCCATCAAGGATGAAACGGTCGATGGCCTTAAGACCATCATCGGCGAGCTGGAGTCGCGCGTGGCTCAATTGGAAGAGCGGTTGCTGCACGGAGGTGGCTCTTCGCAGCCTAAGTCCGTCGCGGAATCTGTGCGGATGATCTTGATGGGCCCTCCAGGCGCGGGTGCGTTTTTCTCCTCCGTTTCTTCCCTTTCTATTTTACATATGGACATACATATATGTTTTCTAAAAGACATAAAATTAAAAAAAAACCGTACTGTACAATCCAATGGCTGAATATCAACCGTCTTCTTTCAACAGGCAAGGGAACGCAAGCACCTAAAATCAAGGAAAAATTCTGCGCCTGTCACCTGGTGAGTACATTGTTCCGATTACAAACAAGTAAAGAAGGTATATATCCCCGGCTGACTTTTTTTCTCTTTTGGTCATCTGTAGGCCACCGGAGACATGCTGCGGTCACAAGTCGCTCGCAAGACCGAGCTGGGCAAGGAGGCGAAAAAGATCATGGACCAAGGTGGATTGGTTAGCGATGAGATTATGGTTAACATGATCAAGCACGAATTGGAGAATAACAAGGAGTGCCAGAACGGGTAAAGAATAAGAAATACCCCCTCCCTCCTTGTTGTTTTTGGCTTTGAGTTATCTCGCCCTCCTTTGGCCATCCCCAACGTCTCGTGAATTTTTGCTAACGCGAGGAAAATGCAATTTTGTATTTGCTTATAAAACACCAGTTTTATCCTGGACGGATTCCCCCGCACAGTCGCCCAGGCCGAAAGATTAGACAGCATGCTCAATTCTCGCGGCCAGAAACTCCAACACGCCATCGAGCTCCAGATCGACGACGCCCTCCTCGTCGCGCGGATAACTGGCCGCTTAGTGCACCCCGCCTCAGGACGCTCGTATCACAAGATCTTCAACCCACCTAAGGAGGCCATGAAGGACGATATCACGGGTGAGCCGCTGGTCCAGCGGTCAGATGATAACGCCGATGCGCTGAGTAAGAGACTGAAGACGTACCATTCGCAGACGGAGCCTGTTGTGGGATACTACAAGACCACTGGCATCTGGAAGGGGATTGACGCCAGCCAGGAGCCTGGACAGGTGTGGAAGAGCCTGCTGCAGGTTTTCGATGCGGATAAGGCTGCAGCTTCGAGTGGGATACTTGGCAAGATCAGCATGTCGAAATAAAGATTACTAGGCTGATTACTGTTTTACCCCTTTATATTACTCTCTTCGTGTAGTCCTCCCTACGTTTCTCTCTCTCTCTCTCTCTCTCTCTCTCTCTCTCTCTCTCTCTCTCTGTGTGTGTGTGTGTGTGTGTGTGCGTGTGTGTGTGTGTGTCGTCTCATTTCGACCAATTCCTCTTTCCTTTTTATATATATTCTTACTCGGTGCCTTTTTCTCTCCATCATCATCATCATCATGTCATCTGGATCCCCCCAGTGGATCCCCTCTTAAGTTTTGCTCCCTCCGGTGCGTTATAAATGGATACCAGCCCACCTATCAAGCATAACCAAACCCCTATTGGAGAATCTTATCATATATGCGTCCAGAATTGTATGCGCGAAACTTCTACTATTTTCTCTTTTTCCTCTCTTTTTTTATCGGTTTTCTTTTTCTTTCTCTTTTCTTAATTTTCGCCGGTGATAACAAGGAGGTAAGAATCCGCCCATTCCATCAGGGGACCTCGCATCGGACCTCGCTCGTGCATGAATGGGAAAGGTGAAATAAGGAACATTTGCAGAACAGAAGAAAAAGGAAGACAAAAGCGTGCTGTTGTAAAAGAATACCCCCTTCTGCTACTGTCAATCAACCGGGCGACTAACTACTGACTGATAACTATATATTGAATCGCTTTTTTGTCTCCAATTCTTCTTCTTCTTCTTTTCTTTTTTTCTTCTTCTTTTTTTGCTTTCTATTCTCTCTTTCTACCTATCTGAACAAATTTTTCAGTTTGTTCTTATTTCTTCTCTATTTGCTTCTCCTTGATGGGTATAGAAGGATGATTGTGGTTTCTTTCCTTTCAATATACTCCGCCTCCTCATTCTTCTTCTTATTTCTATAACCTGCACATTGCCGGGCAAATACTTGGTATCAGAAAGAAAAAGGAGCAAACTATCCAGAAGGATATTCAGGATTTCTATTGTTCATTTCCATTTCATCCGTATTCTATTTCTATTCCCAATAAACGGACCCTTTGTCCTCCGAATACCACCCCCTCTTCCCCCTTTCACCTCTTTCCCCCCTTCCCTCTCTCCCCTCCCGCCTCTGTTCATGATGCTGCTGTAGTTGCTAGGTGACAACTATGATCTCCTCACTCTCTGGAATGTCATGAGCGCATGGGCCAGTGAATCAGAGCTGTTGTGTAGTGTGATGTTGTGCTGAGTCGTGTCGTTATCTTTGTCATGGCATGATGTCCCTCAGCTGCCCTCTTTTTCTTCTTTCTCTTCCTCTCTTCTTCTCTTTCTCTCTTCTTCTCTTCATCACTCTCTTTCACATCACTTCTTGTCATTGTTTGCCATCCATCACAGAACCCCTTAGAGAGAGATCAAATCCTCATCAAGCAGGTCCTCTATCCCTCAGCAAGCCGCATCAACGCTAGTGAACCTGCCAGCGTCTTCAGGAATGGGCACTTCCTATTCCTGCTGCGGCCGTCACGACGAGGACGACGATGACGAGTCTGTCACTGTTCGTGGGTTGGAGATCGGGTCTCCTCAGTTGTAAGTCCACTCGTGTCCTCGTCTCCCAGGGGAATTGACAGATATAGAATCCCCATCTCCATTCCCTTGTTTTAAAGGGGGTTGTTTGTTTTGAAGGCATTTGTGTGTGTCCTTTGGTGTTTCATTGCTGCTTGTGCCAGTTTGGTAGTTGGTGAGCAGACGGCTAACTCGTTGATGCTCTGTCTCCTTATTTGCTGCCAACTTTTAGCCCCCAGACCACGTTGAATCTGGATATGCATAATTTGCGTCGTAAGTTTTTTACCTGTTCCCATCCATTCTCTCTCTCTGGTGAAATGGGACCAAATATGCCAGAGAAAGAAAAGAGGGGGGGGGGCTTTTGATGTCCCATTCAGGAGATTTGTCATTCACTCCCCTTTTGTTGATTTCGAACGGGGCCTTTGCTAAGAAATATCCCTCTCCCTCCCCTCCCCCTTATTCTCGTACAGCAATTACTCGCCATGACGGTCGTGCCGTTGATATCTACCCAGAAATCCGCAGCATGCCACGCACCATGAACCTGGCTGACCTTGGTCATCTTGGTGAAACCACTGCCTCTGCCGTGGCTGTTGACGAGCAAGCCGGTCGCACCGTAAGTTTATCCCATCTCCCTTTTCATCCTCTTTTTTTCATCGCGAAAGACAAAGCCTGTTCCCAGACCATACCCAAAAACCATCAGCACACTCCAATGTCGAGAATTAATCTTTGCTTTCTTCTCTTCTTCATCTTCATTTTCGGAACAACCCAATTGATCATAACATTTCCGCGTTTCGAAGGTGGTTGTGTATGTTGACGCCATAGTCTTAGACTCCTGAGGTGGCCCCCGTCGTCGAGACCACCAAGAAGGAGGAGGAAGCCGCCGTCACCATGGACACCGCCATCGACACCGACACTGCCGTTGCTGAAGCTGAGGTTGCCGCTGCTACGTCTGTTTCGTCCACCACCACCGACGCTGAGGATGTCGTCGTCGCTGAGACTGTTGCCCCTGGCACAGCTCGCTAAATTAAACAAAATAACTGGCCGTCTGATTTGTTTTTTTCTTCGCCAATCGTATTGCCAACAGCTTTCACGTTCGTCATCGCCATGAAGTTCAGAAAAAAAAAAAAAAAAAAAAAAAAAAAAAAAAAAACCCCAACCCTTGTGTTGAGAAGAAAAATCTATACGGCCCGTTTTTCTTCCGAACACGATCGGTTTGTTTTCGCTAAAATGAACAATAATAATGAATGGGAGGAGGATGGGCTTGTTGTTATGTTTGCAGACGCTGTTTCTTTTTTTCTTTTTTCTCTTTTTTAACGAAATCTCCAATCTTCAATTCTTGTACGGACTGGACTGTAAGAGTACACGGGAAGCATTCCCTTTGTGATTTAGCAATCTGCCCCAGAGTTTTCTTTTTTTTTTTTTTTCCCCTTGATATTTCGTGATTTATTCCTTTTTCTTCTCTCTTCGCTCAAACCTAACCACCAACCCCCTTTTAATGTCCCCCATTGTCAATTTGATAGCACAGCACGTCTGGTGAGGCATTTGTTCAACGACCCATGGACTGCCCGTCTTGTTCTCCATCTCAAGTTTATCTCTCTACTCTTTCTTTCCTTCGAAGAATGCTTGTCACTGAGGCCCAAAGGAAGAATGGAAAAGGAGGAATGTACCAGCCCATCCCACCATCATGACGGAGAGGCAGTCAACGAAAAAAAATGCAAACCTGTGGGGGTTGGCGTGTATGGGAAGATGAGGCGTAAGATTTGTATTCTGAAGGTTGTTTCTTTTTCTCCTTTTTTTTTTTTTTTTCGCTCCTCGTGCTCTCTATTTTAATGAATTCCCACACCCCAATATACAAAAATAGATAGTCAGAGAATGGAAACAATTGCCCTCCTCCCAAAAACTGGAATCTTCTACTCTTTTCCTTTTCCTTCACTTTCTACTTATTACTTTCTGTGGAAGGCGGCAGCTTTCACTTGGGGAGCTGACGCTGATTTGATGGTGAAACGTTAGAAGTCATTTTCATTCATATCATTCGTAGATTTCCATAGCTAAAAGAGACGGTATATATATCCATACAATGTAATGTACCTGGGTGACTGGCAGAGCTTCGTCTCGTCTCCCAGATAAAGATTACTTCCCCCCAAGACAGTAATTTCTCTCTCTCTCTCTCACACACACACACACCCTCAGAAAAGAAATCATCAACCTATCAATACCTATGTATAAAAAATTATTTGCTTGTACAGCCTAAGAAACCCCCTTCTTCCCCGCAAGCGCCACCGGATACTCCGTCGACTCAATCTCATCCGGATACCTCAACCCCCCTTGCCTCCTCACCTCATCCATAACATCCATAATAACCAGACTCTCCTCCCACGACATCGTCTCGCTCTCCAGCTTTCCATCCCGCACACACCTCGCCGCCTCATCAGCCTCCCAATACATCCCCTTCCCCTGCCCGGGAAACTCACCCACAACCTCTCTGATCTCCCGCCCCTCACCGAGCGGAATAACCTTGAAGCTATCCGGATGGAACGGGTAGCCAAAGACCTGAATCTCGCCGCGCGTGCCCTGGATGCGCACTGTGGGGCCCGCGGACCATTTCCCGTCCAGGTCGGAGATCAGGCGGAAGTTCGTCATGGCGACCGCCTGCGCTTTGTACGTGCCTGCGGGCGTCGACTGGGGGAATTCGAGCAGGATAGTGGTGGATTCGTCGGCGCCTGTGGCCGGGTAGTGGATCATTTGCGAGCTGATGGTGCTTGGTGGTTTGCGTTCGGCAAGGGGTCGGGTATGGTAGAGGATTTGGAAGGCCCATGTTAGGGAGTAGACGCCCACTGTATATATACAGCGAGTTTAGCGTGGGAGTACGTCCCAGTAGTAACCTCGTATGCAAAGGGTGTAGGATATCAAGGAAGTTGATTGAACATTTAATACAAATGAAAACATATCTTAACACTCACCATCCAACAGCACCCCCCCAGCCAAATCCATATTCACCATCCGATGCGTCGTCCCCCAGTCCCCCTCCGGATCCGTACTCCCGCAACTCGTATCGGCCACAACCCTCACCACCTCCCCAATCTCCCCCTTACCCACCAACTCCCGAATCTGCACCGACAGCGGGAAAAACCTCGTCCACACCGCCTCCATCAAGAACAGCCTGCGCCGGCGCGCCGTCTCAACCAGAATCCGCGCCTGCGCCGCATTGGTCGTCAGCGCCTTCTCGCACAGCACATGCTTCCCCGCGCCCAGCGCCAGCATGGCATTCTGGAAATGGTGCGAGTGCGGCGTGGCGATGTAGACGATGTCGACGTTTGGGTCGTTGACGAGGGCCTCGTAGGAGCCGTGGGCGGTGCAGGGTTGTGGGATGGAGAGGTCTGTGATGAATTGCTGCGCGCGCTCGCGGGAGGTGGAGGAGGCGACGGCGGCGATTGTGTGGGAGATGTCGGAGGCGTTGCGCAGGGAGGGGTCGATGAGCATGTCCCTTGCGAAGGCTGGGTGTGGAAGGTATTCATGTTAGATATTTTGGTGTAGGGAATGCTCCCCCCCGAGGGGGTTTATGGTATTTTTTAATTTGCTCTGGTCTTTGTTTGATGGGATTTTCTCTCTTACATTTGGAAATCCCTCCCGTAGCTAGACCATGCGATTAAGTATTAATAGAAGCTCTCTCCATGGAAGGACAACCATTGGCTGGCAATGACAAACAGAGAGGTGTGGAATTTGAACAGCTTCAACGTACCCATAAACCCCCACCGAATATTATATGGTTCCGCCATTGTTATACAGGCAGTCGATCAATTAAGAATACGTCAAATGAAGATATTAAATTAGGGGTAGAAAGAAGAAGGCAAGGAATCGTCGTTCGTAAGCCGACGGTAAAAACCAAAGGGAGATTATGCAAGGACAAAATGCGTGGGACCGGTTTATTAATATATATGAACGATGTCGATGAGCGGGGTTACGTTTTTGACAGGGTTACCACCTATCCTTGCATTGCTTCAAGCTCCCTGCCCCTCCCCCACAAAAAGCGATGTAACTGAGCCTGTACTCTTCCAAGCCACTGAAACTACGGCTCGGGAGGTTGGGGAGGGGGAAAGCAATGGAAAATATCGGCCCGCATTCTGGATTTTCCGGTGTTACGCTTATGGGGGTTTCGGCATACCGAGAAGACAAAGACAACCAGAAATAAACATGTGTGCGTTGGTTGTACAGTACCTAACGTGGAGGTTCTTCTCTTTAAGAACGGAGTATATTGTTTTAAATTGGAATTTAGTGGCAAAACTAACTGGCCATATTTCCATTAAATAGATGGAAGAAGCACTAAACAATTTACGCAGCTAGCACAAAATAATGAAGGCTAAAAACTAATTTTCTTTTTGACTTGCGAAGATTGAGTCTATAAAACAGATCAGGGCATGACCTCGAATGAGACATACCATGCCATGCCATCCTATGGTAACAAGTGAACGAAAAAAAGTTAATAACAGATAAAAAACACGGTCTAAACGAAAGTATCGGACAGATTTTATATGCGATCAGTAGCTACTACATTACGCTGAAGTAGAAAAATGGAGGGATGGGGAGATTGGGTATATAAGGCCGGCGTGAGCACGGCGTGAGGAGTTATCAAGACAAGTGTTGACAGGGAGGGAGGGAGCTTGGGGAGGGTATACAGGAGTTGTCTAAAATGAAGGGAAGTTGGGCCCCAGGGGAAGGTTGAGAAGAGAAGGAAAATTTTTGAAGATTTCAAAATGTCATGATGCAGGCTCAGTTTTTATTCTAACGCTAGTTGTGACACTTTCTGGTTCCTAGAGGCAAATAAAAAGAGAGAGAGGGAGATTATAGGTTAGCACAAGTCTATACGTGCGATTTCTTCCAAATTATCAAGCCGGGGAGGAGGAGGGCGGGGTGACTATCATACCTCAGCTTTCCTCTTCCCCAAGACAGAGTCTGGAGTCCCGGTTCTACCAACCGGCGTCCCCTGTCCCGTCGCCGTGCCATCCCTCGTAACCTCCGAGTAACAGCTTGCATGATATACACGACTCCCCACCTTACTGGCATCATGCCAGATCCAGTCTTGCGCTTCTTCAGACCACGTCGATTCGAACTTCTCCTGGCAGATTGGGCATGGTGCATTGCGTAGCGCCGCGTCGTTGGGTGCGTGGATCCATGGCTTCTGCGATGATTTCTTTGCTCCAGCCGCAGCAGCATCTGTCGCTGATCCGTTGGTGGAAGTTGCACCTTCACCTGTTTGGCCACCGGTATCGTCGTCGTACTCTCGGGATTTTATCCATTCCTGCGTTTGTTTGTGTTAGCTGTGAGTGAGGAGGTTTGCTATCAAAAGAAAACGGAAGAAGAGAAAAGAAAAGACAAGTTTTACTTACCCGCTCACCCAGATACCAGCTACGACTCTGTCCTCGCTTGGATGCCTCAGTCATGCGCTGATTAGTTTTGAAATGCCAATCCAAGTGTCGTGCCTTTTTCTCTTTTCCTTGATCATCTGAATGAAAGCGGCGGCCACATGTTCCGCATCGATTCGGCTTTTCTTCGTACAGCGTAGAAATTAGGTTCGGCCTCGGGCTAGATAGACAAAAGGGAACGGTTAATGTATAGGACTATTGCGGCTAGTTATTTACTTTATATTTTTATACAAGGGAGCTTACATCCTGATGGACGCTGAGGTCATTTGTATGTTAATTTTGACTTCAGATGGGTTAGATAATTGTGAAATAACAGCGGGTGGTGTATATCCCGCTTGCCCAGGGAGAATGAAAGGTAGATTAGGGGGTGTTGGCGGAGCAGATGAAGTTGGGGGCGGGAGTAGGCCTCGAGCTCTAAGGGAGGCAATCAAGGGATTCTCTGTAAGGGTAGGTGCTGTAGACGGTGCGGGGGGGGGCGGAGTGCTGGTGGCTTGAGGCTGTAGGAATGGTGGAATATGAGGCACCACCGGCGGTGGTGGTGGTGTTCGGCTTTGCTGGTTTGTTGTCGCTTTTATAAGCTCCGCAATCGTGGCAGGGTTTAGAAGGGCTTGAAGATTCGGCTGCGGGGTGTGGTTTTGTATTGATTGAGCTGCCTGGGGTATAGGTGGAGTTGGAACAACCCGAGGGGGAGGCTGAGCTTGGGGTGACTGCGGGGAAAGCTGAGATACCTGATCTCGAATAAGCTTTAGCTGGTCTTGCGGTAGCTTTTGCTGCTGCAGGATGTTCTGGAGGTCTAAAAGAGCTTTTAGCCGTTGCTGAATTGAAGGGTCAAGTGGATTAATTGCAAAGTCAGCTCGAGCGGTCGCGATCAAACTCTCTATATCACGGTGTAATGCGCTAAGGTCAATTGACTCTTGAAATGGTTGCCCGTATGGCTGAACCGGTTGAGCCGACGGCTGTAAGATATTATTAGTTCGAGAATGGACTACACCACTCGGCTGCAGATTGGACACTCACGTAGTGCTGGTGCCCATTACTCGGGTACTGTTGGGGGATATTTTGGTTGGCGGATTGGGTAAGTCGTGGGGGAATTTGCGGCGGGGTTGGAGTGTTCCGCCAGGTAGTAGAAGTTGGAGGAGTAGTAACTCCGCGATTCCGCCCAAGGATATCGTGCTGGCTTCTTGCCTGCTGATTCTGAAGCGCGGCTGTTCTGGCTTTGATAAGAGCATTCTCAATACTGCGGGTTATTTCAACGGGGAAAACAGGTCTAGTATCCAGGGAACCAGGAACAGGCTCTTTCCAAGTTTTCAACATCTCATCCAGTTTCTTGCGGGTTTGAGAATCGACGAGCGTATATGCGTTCATGAAGGTCTGATAGAGGTTGCGCCCCAAAAATAGAGTGTAGGGCGTTCCTACATTTTTGACAACAGAATCAACTACATAAAGAGCTGGAAGTTTCTGAGCTGGCGGAGTCTACAAATGAAGATCCGAGTTAGAGAGCTGCATATATCAATATTGCTACGAGTGCTCGAGTTAAGCGGTCGCAACGAAAGGGAACGGGAGAAAAGTCTTAAGCAATGAGAAGACGAGCATGATGTGAAAAGGGAAACGAGGAAACAAAGACGAAGCACCTACTGTCCGAATATGATTCTCCAGTACTCGGGAGATGGCCATCGCATGTTCAGTATTTTCCTTTGCAATCACTGTGAGATTGCTAATTTGGAACTTATCGTTTCCTGTCAGGTCCTCGAGCGAGTTCTTGTAATCTTCCGCAACTTCATCAGACGCAAGTCCTGTAGACATGCTGGGCACTTGGTATATAGATGTAATCGGGCGAAGATTATGAACAGATAATGACGGGTATCGTAAAAGGAAAAAGAAAAGCAATGAAAAAAGATATAGAACAGGGAAAAGTAACCAAGGCACAAAGGTAAAAGAGATTTTCCTTGGAAGTTTGCGATACTGACTGGTTTTAGCCAGGAGGAACTGTGAATGGAATATTTTTTCTTCTTCTTTTCTTTCCTTTTTCTTTCTTTTTCTTTTTTGGTTATTTGTCTTCAGTTGATTTTCCCCTTCCCCTCTCTTTTTCTTCCCTGCGAAGAAGCAATCTTCTGCTAATTTCAGAGTGCGAATAGATTGACAGGAAAAGTCAGGACAGAATTTGTAGAATGGTTGCTAAGTTATTCTCTGCAAAAACTGAACAGAACAGGCCGATGTGAACCCCCCAACTGCAAATATATGTATGATTCTTATTATATCATCCACCACCCATAAAGACCACCGTACAACGCCGCTAATCCTTTTTCTCCGTCCTTCTCAGCAACGAATACCAAAAATCCCAACAGTAAACGTGCTGGTAGCTAGGGAAAATGGGTTCTGGGCGATAGTAGGTGATATGTTGGCCGAGGGGGCAAAGAGGGAACTGGCCAGCGATGTAACGCTGATGACGGGAGGGCGAGGGGCGAAGGGAAATATAAATAGCACAATTGAAGGTACAACGGAATAAAAGATCAAATACAGGGTCGCTGACAGTATCAGCAGCTGTTTATCCAGTGATATTCACAAGGCAGCTGGGTGATGTTGGAGTTTGTTGGAGGTGGTCGCCGGAAGTTTGAAGCTGGAAGGGATTTGACGTTGAAGTGAGGCTCTAGAGGTGAGGCGATGAGTCAGCGGTCACCACGTGAAAGTCATGTGATCTGTTCCATATCCTTGAACTCAACCAGCCAGCATCAGCGTCATATAGGCAGGACTAGGTAAGATTTCGCCTTGATCTGTGAGACTCGCCTGTGGACGCTTTCCCCGTCAGCACCGGAGAGATCCCATGTAACCCCGTGAAAACCATCTTCTCCTCTGTTCTCGACTGATCTCAAGATCTCAAACCTCCAGTTAGCAATCTGTTGAACACTTAACCATCTCCCCATTTTGCTAAAGCATAAGACTATGAAGCTCTACATTTTTACTTTACTTTTGGTCTTTATCGCGACGGCCGCCTTCGCTGGAGTGGGACCAGAAAAGGCAATACTGGTCAGCTATCCTTCAGATACCCCTTCCTCTGTCATCGACGCCGCTATGGAGGCCGTTGAGGACGCAGTATGTTCCCCTTCTATCCCTAATCTTGGAGCGATTTTGATATCTAACCAAATGCTATTCTGCAATGGTTTTAATAGGGCGGAGTAATCACTCACAAATTCGGTAAGTCGCTGGCTGCCCCGTTCATAGATGCCTGATTTGACCTCCTGCTAACCGACGACTCTATTTAGAACTGATCAAGTATGCCTCTCCCCTCCCCTGGACATTATCTTCTGCTCAGAACCCCCGCTAAACATGTTGGAAACTAGGGGTTTCGCCGCAACTGCACCCATGACGGTCTTCGATACGCTTTCTACCTTGTCGGACAAACATCGTCCCTGGATCGAAGAAGATCAGATAGTCACCCTTGACGGAAAACTGACCAGCGGCGGCAATAAGTTGTAATTGTCCCAGGGTGAACTGTCGAACGGGAGCCACATGGTACCTCATGATATACGACCAAATATTCCACTCTACACTTGATTTGTTACCTGGCTAGAATGGAGGTGCTACCCGCCCTCATTGCCGAATGATCTCTTTTTTTGGTTTTTAGTAAAATCAGCGAAGAATGGTAGAATGCAATGACGTATCTGACATTCTCCTGTGATGACGCTACGTTGCAAGACAGGTGCACATACATACCTTATTTTATTTATTATTTTTTGCTTTTTTGACCTTGCATTTCGTTGTATATAGCTGCTGTATTTAATGGAAAATGTGCTAGCACAAATGATAAGATACCACTATCCTTTTTGTCACTACTTGATAATTTGAGTGCCGTACGCATAGTAGATTATACTATTTTAATTGTCCCTCATTTTCTAACTTCCCTGGGTCACTAAAATAATCACTATGGAATTAGTCTTCCAGGGGTCCATGTGCCCCTAAAATAGTGTTGGCTGCTTAGTCGACGACGTGACTTCTTACACGCTCCGAGCCGCCGCCACTCTTATTAACGACCAATAAATGTACTAACACGGTCCAACAGCTGCCCACGCATCTCTCTCCTTTCGCTCACCGTGCCATGATGCGGGATCATTTTGGCTCGAACTTCTCGCATATCGTGTAAACTCGTGCAGTACAACCCCGCGTCACAATGCTCTCCGACCTCATTTCCTCCACCCTCCTCGAATGGATCAATAGTTTTAGTTTGGGCACGACCATCCGATCAATTGACCAGTTGAGCGATGGCTCTATCCTCTGGGATACTCTTCAGGATATCGACCCGCAATACTTCCTTGGAGAATTACCAGAGCGCTCACCCTCCGACCACTGGGTCCCGCGATGGCAGAACCTAAAACACCTGCACAAGGCATTGATCAGTTATATAAGGAACCAGAACGATGGTGAAGTGCCTTCAGGGCTCAATATCTCACCTGATCTAAAGGCCATCGCAGAAGTCTCATCGACAAAGGAAACGAACGAACTGCTCAAGTTATTCCTGCTTGCAGCCATTAGCTCGCCAAATGCGGAAGCCTACATAATGACAATGCAGAAGCTATCCACTTCAACACAAGAAGGGCTAAAGGATATTATACAAGAAGCACAAAATCCGTCGGACGAAAGACTAGAGGAACTTGATTATGAGCGGAATGACCTCTCCACAAGACGAGATATGCCAATGGACCCAGAACTACGGTTTGAGGAACGCTTCGGAAAGGTACTGGCCGAAAAGGACAAACTGTTCAATGAAAAGCAAGAGCTAGAGAAAACAGTGGAGGACTTACATGACCGCTTAGCTCGACTTCAGGAGAACCACGATATGGTACTGGATAGGCTCACATCTACGGAAGATCGCTTGACGACTCTGAAATCTGGGAAGGGAGATTTGATACCGAACGCCAAAACACTGGAAAGCAGGACACGCCAGCAGGAGGATCTTATCGCGTCTCAGGAAGCCAAAATTCAGGCTTCTCAGGACGAAATTGATAGTCTACGGATGACAGTCGAGTCATTACGAGTGAAGAATCAGAGATTTCAAAAGTTACAAGATGACTACGACGAAGTGAAGAACGAACGAGACCAGCTTTCCAGGCGGGCAAATGCGGCAGAGAAATATCGACAGAAACTCCAAGCTAGCCAAGATTTCGAAAAGGAGAATATCGCGCTTAAAAATAAGGTCAAAGATCTACAGCAGCAATTGCGAGATAGCGATATTAGTCAGAAATCTTCATCTGAACGGGACGTGGAGCTTGAGGAGTACCGTCGCGTCCTCCCAAGAATAGAGCAGGATCGCCACGAGATTCAAAATGTGAAGAAACAGCTAGAATTTAACAACCATGCTCTCACCGAACGACTTCAAAGCGCGGAAGATCAGCTTGCCAGAGACGAAGCTACTATCAGCGAATTACGGGACCGAATACGGGAACTCGAGGGTCTGGAGAGCCCAACTACTCCTGGAAGTACAACTCCAAAGGCACACGGGACTTTCCAAAGGGATCTTGACGAAGTGGGCCGACGAGAGGCGCAGCTGTTAGTGTCATGTATCTCGTAAACGGTGCAAGTGCTAACTAGCTCTAGGAAAATTGAGAACGAAGAGCTTAAACGGGAGCTTGAGAAATTCAACGGTGGAATATCTCCATCGAGTGTATGACTCACCTAGTTCTAGTTCACTTGATCAGGGAAAACGCTAACACACAAACTCCAGGACACCGCGAAAGAATCCCCCACAGTTGGGCTTGGTACTAAATTTGCAGAGAAGTGGGAATTTTACCTTCCCTTATATTGCACAGATTCTAACAAAAACTACAGTGATGCGTATAGAAAGCTACAAGATGAATATTCTGCCATTCAGAAGAAACTTGCTGATGCACAAGGTGACATGGAAGCAATAGAACGACAGCTTCAGGAGGCGAAAGCTGAATGTGAGTTATATATACATGGGCTTGAGAATTTCACTCGAACCATTTACTTCTTGCTGACATTGTTGAAGTGGGCCTGATCAGTAAGGAGAAACTCGACATAGTTGAAGCGGCAAACGACTCTTCTTCCCCTGACGTGATAAAGATGCGGGATGAAGTGCATGCCGTTCAAAGCAAAATCCAGGACCTCGAAACTAAGCTTGCTACCAGCCAGTCATTTGTTCAGGAGGTATCTACAGAGCGTGATTCTCTCCGGGACAGGTTAACCAAGAAGGTGCAAGAAATGCAAGGCGAAGACCAGGCTACCATGGATGAGATGAAGAAACTTCTTGATGAAGTTGCCGCTAGATTCAACAGCAACAATACGGACGGGCCCCAGCTCTCAGGAACCGATTTACTCAGACAGTTCTCGGATACCATGGAGCGGAGCGCCGAAAATCTGGCAAAGAGAGCAGAGGTTAGTTCTCATAAACATTTTACCTTCGATGTTTTCCTTTTGCGTATTTCGTTTCTATCAAAATCTTCCCCGTGGGAAAATTGATAAACGGCTTTTCTGGGCTGGCAGAGGATCCTTCTTGTTCCTTGTTTGCAAGCACCTTTTTTATAAGTCTTCCGGAAGTCTTAGTCCTGAATACTCCCCCTCCTACATCCAATAAATACAACCAGAACCAGAGGTTGACCATTCGTAGATCCGGAGCGCTCTGGCACTCTGGCAATGGTTCCTCCTTTTCGTCGCGCTTGTATTTGCAATTTTTCATCGTCGACCCCGTCCCACTGTGTTGTGACATTGAAGCGTTCCTTTCTCCATATATCTCTTAAAAACCGCATCCCTCGGGGTTCTAATGCTAACTCGGCGCCGAACGATTCGGGGGGAAACCAAACAGCACATCAACCAGCAAAACGAACTTATCAAGTCTCTACAGGAGCGGATTCAACACTCTGAGAAGCAGGAATCGCATAAAGAAGCTGAGGTATACACATCATAAGTTCCCCTGAATCTGTCACGATAACCATGACCATCCCTTAGAATATGATAATACTGCTCCTGCTACCCAGCAGGTTTTGGAACAAAAAGAGACAGAAAGTAAGATATTTTCTAACTAAACATCTATGATAGAAAAACCTCATGCAAGTCATCCAACGCCAAGCCCGAGAGATCGCGCTCATATCATCCGCGTGGTATGACCAGCAGTCCCGCCTGCAGAACGGCAACGTTTCCATGCTGCGATACCGACATCCAGCTAGCACCAGCACGACTGGCGTGGAAGTCCATCGAAGCTGGCTTGCGAAGCAACGAGCTCTTGTTTCGAGAAGCAAATAATGATGAAACACTGATTATATATATTCTAAAATATATACGATCGCGATAGAAGTACACAGGTGAGGCGGGGGTGAGTGAATTTGGATACATGCTTGTTGTTGGAGCGACGACTTGCATGGAATGATGAAGGATTAACAAACACCGAGCGGGACCAAGGCTTACAATAAGGTGTTTTTGTTTGCTTTTCTAAGTTATTTTGGAGACAAGGCTGCCATTTCCTATTACTCTCTAAATCTTTCTCTTCTTGGTTTTTGATATATTAGACGTTCTTGTCATGCGTTCCCGTTCTCTCAACCCTACATTTTCTTTCTGTTTTCCTTTCCCCCCTTTCTTTCATTTTCTTTCTTTCTTTCTTTCTTTTTTTTTTTTTTTTTTTTTTTTTTTTTTTTTTTTTTCCCTTATCTTCATCTTCGCCATTTTCCTTCCTCCCTATTGGATGTATTCGGCATTTTGGATCCGCCATTTTGTATAAATCAGCCCTCAGAAATCGTATTTTTGTTGTGACCCTCATCCGTTCAAAGAAACCACTGCAACCTACTGGCACTCCTAGCCCCATTCGTTATATAATCTCATTTTTGTGTTTGTTTCCCTTACATTTAGAACATGCTTGCATCGTGTTCTACACCTAGAGCTACTTATTTATATACCCCCTTCCATTCTTACTAGAATTTTTCTTCAGGCATTTACCACCTTCCTGTTTTCTTCTGTCCCTTGATGTAGCTTTTGGGGTTGGTTTCACTGATATACAGACAGGCAAAGAATGCCTTGGGCGCTTTTTACATTCAAGATTCCAGCACTCCAAAATTCAGTATCATAAACCTCTCATATCTTTGTTTACAATTAGAGATCTCGGTTTTTCGGCTTGATATATACAAGTTTGCATCTGTGTCGGTATATACTGCTATGCTATAGTGAATGAAGATTGAAAACATAGCCAAACACCAAGGGCAATGTGGAAAATTCCCTCACACAATCATATCCTACATTTTTATATTTGTCCCAAAAAGCCTCATTTGATAGCTTTCATATTGTACTGTACATGAATATTTCTCTCTCTAGATTTTAGTCTTTCTTCTTTTATATCGGGGTGAGTGGTGACAAGCCATGAGCAACTGCAACTGCAATTGTATAGTATACCCTTGAGGGCGGAGTGTAAAAAGCGGAGAAAAAAAGGAGCCGAGGAACCCATTGGTCTAGCATATCAACAACACCACTCCAGACACACCACAAAAAAGAGAGAACGGGGATAAAATTATCCCTAGCTTAAACCCACCGCCTCGGATTCTTCAACACCTCCATCAACTCCCTCTCCTTCACCTTATCGTCACCATCGCCCGCTTCCCCTTCGTCATCCCCTCTAGGACCCCTCGAGGTACCATCGTCAATCCTCGTCCCGGAAACGGGATCCATATACTTCCACTCCGCCGTCCGCGGCAGACTCATCAATATACTCTCCACACGCGCACCGGGCGTGCGCAGCCCAAAGCTCGTGCCGCGGTCATACACGAGGTTAAATTCCACATACCGCCCACGACGGAGTTGTTGCCACTCCTTCTGTGCGGGGGTGAAGGGCATGTCCTTGCGCCTTTCGATGATGGGGACGTACGAGGGGAGGAAGGAGGTGAGGGCGTCTGTGACGAAGGAGAATATGGCTTCCTGGGCGTTTTGTGAGGAGGCGTGGGAGTGGGAGTGGGAGTGGGCTTGTGAATTGATGTGGGATTGGGAACGGGAAGATTGGGCGAAGAATTCGGCATCGAGGTCGTCGAAGAAGATGCCGCCGACGCCGCGCGCTTCGCCGCGGTGGGGGATGTAGAAGTACTCGTCGCACCATTTCTTGAAGCGCGGGTAATATGTGCCGTCATGCTTGTCGCAGACGTCCTTGATAGTTTTGTGGAAGTGTTCGCAGTCCTCTGGGAATAGGTACGAGGGCGTCAGGTCCGTCCCGCCGCCAAACCACCAATTCTTGTCGCCGCTGAGCGGGTTCTTGGGGTCTGCGGTCTCGAAGTAGCGGTAGTTGAGGTGCACGGTGGGCGCCATGGGGTTTTTGGGGTGCAGGACGAGGGACAGGCCTGCCGCGAAGAAGTCTAGGGAATCGACGTCGGCGGCGACGAAGGACTTGTGGTCGGCACGCATCTTTTCGATGGCCGGGCGGGGCAATTTGCCGTAAACGACTGAGACGTTGACGCCGGCCTTTTCGAAAACGTTGCCGTCCTGTAGTACGCAGGAGATGCCGCCGCCGCCATTGGGCCGGGTCCATGTGTCCGCCTTGAACGATTTGCCGTCTATCCTGGACAGTTCATCCACGATCTTCTGCTGGTGTTCCTTTATCAGCTTCTCCATCCGGAGACGCATTGGGGAGGATTCGGTGATGGAGGTGTCACGTTTGGTTGCTTCATCTAACTCGGCTATTGTGGGGGCGTCGAGGTTTGTTTCATTATCGTCGGTTACCTGGGAGTATGGATTAGCTTTACATCCATTTATCTGGAGATGAATATAAGTATAATTCTTACCATTGAGTAAATCATAGCTCCTATGAAGACTACGCCAACGCTGATTCGGAGATATGGTCTCCAAACGGTGTCCCGTTCGTTGGGTCGCGGCTTCGACCCATTTGATATTCTACATAATTGATTTTTTGGTAGACCGGTCAATTGAGCCCTTGGTATGACCCTCCGGCTTATAGCCCTAGGGAAATACGAATAAAGGCGCCTGGGAGCCATCCTGGTAGGGATTTTGTAGAGTTCGGGTGCTCCCCGTATGAGCGGTGAGATAAGTTAACGTCGCTAGACACAAAGGTATACCACAGTAGCCATCAACAATTATGGCATTGGTCATTGGGTGGTATCTGTATCCATGGATATGTTCCTGAATGTTAGAGCCGAATTTCGGGAAGTGGACATCCCGATATCACGTGCGCGGTGTGTCGGATAAATAGATTGTCCGAGGTGGCCTGATATAAGTGAACATAACGAACGGAACGGGAATAGTAGTAGTAGTAGTGACTGGGACGGCAGTAATAATAATAAGATACCGAGTCATTGTATGTACAAACTTTCTAGATTCCCCTCTTCGCTCTTCCCTCCTTGTATACAAACTATAGCTCTGGTGAGGCCATCTGAGTTTGGCGCTGACTGTCAGTCATCATCTAACACCGGCCTGGGAGCAAGCGAGAAGAGGACGAGAAATGACAAAAATGACATATCAAAAATGTCACATCACCAGAGACACAGGAACAAGTACCCCGAGTGTAAATCGTTTTCTGCAAGAGACGCATGATAGAAGGAAGGGCAGGGTCCTGATGACTCGCATCCCGTATTGGTACCTTCTCCGCCCCAGTTCCCCGCCAAGTACCGGTGCCTAGTAAGCGCTACGTCGTACCAATACTTTCCTTGTCTCTGCTTGCTAGCCCTATGTAGTTCCCACGAGAGTCACGTGGAACCAACCCGGTGATTCACCGCCCGGGTGCCTGCTTAGTCACCAGCATATAATAGGCGGGGCTGAGCCGCTTCCTGGGCTCACTTCATCCATCGTCATTCCACCGCGGTCTCCGTCTATCTATCACCAACAAGCATTCTCATACCAAGCTCCTAACCACTGCATCTATTTAACCCCCCCCCTTGGCAACCTGCCGCCACACCTCTTTTGCATCTCTCAGCCAAACATCTATCCATAGTATTTATCCCACATCCACCATGCGGTCCAAGTTCAAGGACGAACATCCCTTCGAGAAGCGCAAGGCAGAAGCTGAGCGCATCCGAGCAAAATATGCTGATCGTATCCCCGTACGTCCACCCCCCCTCAACTATCCTATACATTATACCTCCTCTATAACACACATATATGCCATATACATACCTACCACACACTCTTACACTCTTTACCGTTCGCTCGGTGCTAATATATAGACTTGGCGGTGAACAGGTAATCTGCGAAAAAGTCGAGAAATCAGACATCGCAACCATCGACAAGAAGAAATATCTCGTCCCCGCAGACCTCACCGTCGGCCAGTTCGTCTACGTCATCCGCAAGCGCATCAAGCTCTCACCCGAGAAGGCCATCTTCATCTTCGTGGATGAGGTCCTGCCTCCCACCGCCGCTCTGATGAGCAGCATCTATGAAGAGCACAAGGACGAGGACGGTTTCCTATATATCACGTATGTTTATCCCTACACACCTACCTATCGTCCATTATCTGAATTAGAAACAAAAAAATGCGTCGGACAGCTCAGCTGATTGTTTAATACAGATACTCCGGCGAAAACACGTTCGGTGAATGTTGAAAAAAATATTCTTTAAAAAAATACAAAGGATACACCGCCTTTCTTTACTTGCTTACTGGGGACATTTTTGTTCTGCAACCCTATTATTTACCTTTTGCGAAGGCCAGGATCTTCCTTCAAAAAAGGCCTGAGCCAGGGACAACGAGACACGATATGAAACTATTCACGGGGGCTTTGAGATCTCAATCGGGAGCATTTTATGTGTATCTGGCGTTTGTTTGTCCTTGTTACTGCTTCTACTGTCTGCTTTGCTAGGGATATAAATGATCTCACTTTCTTCTATTTTCTATTTCGTTTTGTCTTAACCTTGGTTTTTTCTTTTGTTATGTTACGCTTTCTGTTTTCCGGCTTACCTGTTTGCAAAATCCCGTTTAATATTTTAGTTGTAGCTCTTTTACTGCTCTAGTAAGGCCCGCCGCCCTATGCTTTTCGCGTGGGCCTACCAATACATGCCCTTTTACGCAGCTTAGTGAGTGGGTTGACTGGGATGGGATGGATTGAGCGGTATCCATCCCCTGTCTTCCTCGTCTCATCCTTTTTACTCTCGGGTACTTTCTTTCTTTCTTCTTTTCTTTTCTTTTCTTTTTTTTCCTTGCCTGGTCTCGCTATAATTACCCATACCGATTAAGCTTTTGCGGAGATCGGTATTCAATAACTATCTAAATACAAGACCAGTAGTGAGGGTTTTTGGTCGCGTTAGAATACAGAAAACCAAAACGCAAATCCTGTTGCCTAATTTTGTTCCTCCCAGCCGGGCTGCTTATGTGGTCTGTTTGCAGGTTTTCCCCTAGCTTTTTGCCTATGTGGTACATGGCTGAAGGGTCGGCTGTGTTCGGCGGGAGATGATAACGCAGCGGTAATATGGGTAATATGGGTAAAATGGCCAATAGGACGCATTACAGAAAGAGCCCTATGGGGGGGGTTGAAAGGCGCGAAGAAAGATAAAGGAGAATAAAAGAAACAACGCGATGCTAAAATTTCGCTCCTCAGGAAAGATGAAATGCAAACAAAACGCCTCCTTCGGGTGACCAGATCATGAACACGCAAGCAAGTATACAATATATACAGTAGAACGCCAAAATCGAAAGATTTTGTCCCAGCGCAGGTAATCTAATCTCCAGTGATCCCTCACGCAAATATAGTACTGTACAAAAGTCTCCCCAGGGACTTGCGAGGGTATCTGGAGCATTGCATAGGGCTGATATGTTCCATGCGGGAGGGCGGGAATATGTCGACACCTCCGCCCCTCCCAGTGCTGGAGCAGACTGAACGACAACGATAGCGATCAAATCGCTGCTTTTCCATGTGGAGAGGTATATGAGCACAGGAGGAGCTTTTAAGCACTGATAATGGAACGATTGCAGTTGGCGGTGTAGGGGACATGAACGCCGCAGAACACCCAAGCCAACCTGCGGTGATTCCCCTGGCGACTGGGGGATCTATGTTGGTTGGGACTATATTCTCTTCAAAACGAACGAATGAGGCGGACAGGCCGTGTAGATCCGTAGGGTAGGGTAGGCTGTATAGTTTGAGATGCTGGTTGAATTGCGACTGGAGCGTTCAACGCAGTAGTGCCTGTCATTCATGCATTGGGGTCCTGTCAGCTCGTTGGCGCCGCCGTTCCCTTCTCCTTTCCCTTCCCTTCCCTTCCAATCTATTATTTTCCAATCCACTCCCGCCCCCTCTGGCCCCCATTCCCACTTGCACTTAACCCCCCTTACACAGACTCCCACCCACCCCACCACCCCTTCACCCTCCTCAAGCCAAGATTAAACAGATAACGTGGATCAGATGGTTGCTCGGGGTGTTTCGCTCTGTGTTCCCGGCGGATGCGCACGTAGGCGGCCGAAGAGCCGATGAAGACGGCGAAGAGGGGGTCGGCGATCCTATTGTCGGTCAGGGGATTTGCGCGGTTAGTTGTGGGCTGGTGTTAGGTTTTTTGCTTGCATAGATACGGCTTGTCTTTTCGAGAGGGAGGTTTGGTAGGAGGAGTGAGGGGTGGCAGGGCCATGGAGGGCAATCGAGTTGGGAGAGAGGGCGGAGTTGGCTTGCTGATCGGGCTGGGAATTTGTTGGTTGGATGGAGCCGATACTTACCGTGAGATTAGGTACGGGTAAGCCACTGCGGTAGGCATTGTTTCTGCTAGAATTCGGAAACCCTTCTATATATATTTGTTTTGGATGAATGGGAATGGTTGAAATGCGCGACTATTCCATCCACACAGGGAATTCGCAAGGATTTGGATTGACGATAAGTTGATGCTTCGGGGGTTGACTGTCGATGATTGGACGGAGCTGTCTAGCGGAATTTCTTGGCATAGATTTTGGTCTCACTAACTAGGCGTCTTTGCTTATATAAGGGTATCACATCCTGGTCGAAGAAATACAACAAGAGATGGAGAATAGGCGAGGGGATAATTACAGGGGTAGGTGCTATACTGTTTTGGTAGAATTGGTTAGATATAGCAGTCCGTGGGTGTCTTGTCTGATGGACGCCGCTTGGGGACTAAAAAAGACCGTTTAGATGAGAGGGAATGGGCAACAACTTTTATGACATAGATGTACATAGATCTATCATGTTCCAACGCCGGAATTTTAACCACGCGCTATCTATATAGGAAAAAATAACCATAAGAAGCAAAGAGTAGAGCAGTGACAAACATAAAATTACATAGGCCCGTATATAAAAATCCCAACAAAAAGCCTAACGCACGTATACTCTTTCTATATATAACATGAAAAAAGGCGTAGTTAAAATAACAATACAGTAGAAGCCGAAAATTAAAACAGAAAGAGAAAAAGGAATTGGACACGCTATAGCGAGTCGCAAAGCTCCCGCTCCGCCCCATCGCCACGAATACTCCCTGCAAAAAGCGCACAGCTTACACAACCTTCCCAAACGCCGGGATCAAGGTTTGCGCAAGCCAGAAGCTAAACACAAGCTTCGGACCCGTCATCAGCAACTTGGGCGTCAGCCCCTTGAAGAAGCTAGTCGGGCCCTCATTCCTGATCATGCTGCTGACAATTCGGAAGCCAGATTCTGGGTTCTCAAAGTTGCGGTTCTGGATCCGGGTCTTGATGACGTCAAGCGGCGCGGAGACGATGAGGGAGGCGCTGGCACCGACGATGGATGCCACGAAGTTCTGCAGCCAAGACGCGGAGTTATAATCTTTTAGGTCGTAGATATATTCTTTCGCGAAGGCGGAGCCGCCGAAGAGCTGGTTATTTTGTTAGAATGATGTTTTACAGTAATGGGGAGTGTTTTTGTCTGAAACATACTGCAAAGGAACCGGGGGCATTTCGTGCAGCGGTCCAGCCTGCACCGCGGTAGAGACCCATTCCCTCATCTTTGATAATTCTGAACAGGCCACGGCCACGGAATGCTTCTGGGTTTGTCTGTCTCTTTATTTTGAGGACGTCGAGGGGGAGGAGAACAATTTCTCCAATACCGATCAAGCTGCAGGAAAAGAAATCACATTTAGACATTTGGTCTTCTTTTTGATTCTAGGTGCTCAATCTTTTACGGTTTGTTCTGGACTGCTTACCTTCCGGCCGTAGCATGCATGATCGCCTTGCCAGTGCCCTTGCCAAATGCATTGTCGAACGACGAGCCGTGGTGCTGGGCTAGATAATCCCGGACGAATGGTTGTCCGCCATATTTATATATCCGTTGCAATACCTAAAAGAGGCGAGCGAGCAAAAATGACATTAGCTATGACTCAAAGTACGCACTGAAAATGAAGGGCTGACTTTCATGTGAAAAAACATACCTTGTATCCAGCAGCATATCCAAGACCGGGAAAAAGAGAGGTGAACTTCCTAGCGACAGAGGCGTCGGCGAAGTCCTTGAAAACGACTTTGTTCAATTGGGAAACGTTGGCGATCTAGGGAGATTGTGTATGAGTACGCGTCAAGCATTATCAATTGATGAATATCCGGGCATAACTGTACCTTTCCTTGATTGCTCATAAGACGTTTGGCGGTCGTATCAACCTAGTGAATTGAAGGAGAAGTCTTAGCTGGGGGATGTCCTGAGTCAGAAAAAAAGAGGGAGTTTGTAGACACGGCCCATACGGGATGGAAAATAAGGAGCTCAGCAATGCCAGAGGATCCTAGAAAAAAACCGTTAACAGAAGGAATTCCTATTGATGATTCGGACAACAGACGTACCGGAACCGAGCAGACGAGCCATTCCGGACTCTCTCTTCACATCCTTTGCGGCAGAGCCTGCGCCGGGAGCAACAAGAGCTGGTGGAGACATTTTCTTTTTTTTTCTTTTCTTTTCTTTTTTTTTTTCCTGTGCAACAGCAGCACCTAACGAAGGGATTGGGGGAAAACGACGGGGTATACGGTGGCGGCGACGACGGCAGAGGCAAGGGAATCAGCGGGCGAAGAGAGTGAAAAAGGGGATGTGGCAGAGAAAGAGAAACGGAGAGATGAAGAAGTGAAGAAAAAACAAGAACCACCACCGACAATATTCTGCAAGCCCGATCCGATCGATATCGTCCAGCGGTTTTTTCGTCGCCGGGTCTTGGCATCGAGGCTTGGCGCGGCTTCCGTTTTGAAGGAACCAGGAGGGTCCGTTACTAGCCTCGATTGGGTTTAGTGCTTGGCCCGAGCGGGTTATGTAATCCACCCTCCAGGGCAGCCGAGGTTGAACCAACTTCGTTCTCCGCCTTCAGGCCGTGATTTCTCCGCGATATCATACTGTTTGTACTCCGGACTCTACGCGACGGGAACAGCAGTTTGGGGTCGCCAGATGTGGAGGTGATACGGCTCCAGGAGCGGCGGTGTTGTTCGTTATCGCCCCGCGACCCACTCGATTGAGCTGCTGTTTGCAGTGACCGTCTTTGAAGTCTCCCTTCGCCCGTTCCCTACAACGGGGTATTCCAGAGAAATGGAATAATACCATTGCAATATGGTTTTTTTTGACCTACGCTCTCATTCTTTATCCACCGCAGGACTCTGGGGAAAGTGGAGATTCATATTTATTATGTCTTGCTACCCGCCTGGATATCTCATATATACCCAATGTCCCATGGCAATAATGTTTATATCTCCCAAGGATGCAGAGAGATTCGCTCTCGCAAGGGCACTATAACCTATGGCCGAAAACATACGTCTATTATCAGTCTGTTGGACAGAAAATGTCTTTTGCTAGCCAAATTCCGGCCTGCAGGACAAACAAACCGCTCACGTTTGCTATCATTCCGGAGATATCCAAGATGTGATATAGTGAATCGCAGCCTGCTTTGATTCCCTCTGTGCGAGGGGGGAGAGGTATATATATACCTTCAATTTCCAACCGTGGCCTTTCCTTGCTACAACTCCTCTCTACGACATACCTTGCTTCCTGTGGGCTCCTCCTGAGCTTGAATTTCTTTAGAAGACTTTACAAGAATTGCATCCCTTCTCATACCCACACCTAGCTGACCTCTTAGGTGGCATATCAAAAAAATGAACCGCTTCAACATATTTCTTGCAATCCTCCTACATATCTTCCTCGTTGCAGGTGCATCCACCCCTCTATTACCGGAAACCAATGCCACAAAAAATGCACCCGTTGAAAAGTTCACTCTCGCCCCAGGCGTCATGGTAAACACGCTCGACCCGGACTATCTCCCCGTCCAAGAGTCCACAAAAAATCCCAGAAGCACTCTCCATCGCCGTCGGACACATGTAAAGGATATCATGATGACTCTGGGCCCACGAGCCGACAAACCTGTCTGTTCGCGGGAGAAACCATGGCTCTGTGAAGGGAAAACTTGCATGAATAAATATTTCCAGCTCTGCTGTAAGGGGGGTGGGGTTTGTGATAGCCCTAAGCGTTGCGTCATGACGTTGTTTAATACGGTTACGTGTGGTTAATTAGCTGGGGCCCGGTGGGATGGATTGGATATGTTGAGTTATGAGGGGTGGATATACTGTACTTCTTCAAGACGGCTATATTAGGAATATTTACGTCACTTATTTTTTGGGCATGGAAGCTTGTTTGAACGCTGATAACTTTTGTGCTCCTATTTCCATGACCTGCAAAGCATAGCTTCGAATTAAAGCCGCTGGAATACATACAAAATATCCAAGGAACTAAGAATATCCTCTCTACTATGTAAGCTCTCAAATAATGATATGTTTCATTCTTCAATTGGCTCTCATTTGTCAATATCAGCCCCTGAAAATCAATATCACGTGACACACAGGCTCTGACCTCATCGCTAAACATAAACAGAAGCTTCGATAAGCTCCGAGCTCAACACAAACAAAGCCGAAGAATAATATACTGTTTTCACCATGGGATATGATCAATAAAAGACACTCCCAGACTCCTTAATTCAAGTAATAAATATGTGAGAGAAAAGAAACAACGAGATAAACCGCACAAAGATGTTTTCCTCACTGCCCCTCATAGAACCTCGCGACGTAAGTCCTGTCAATATCAATCTAATTTATAATACCGCGGAAAGAAAAGAAGAAATTGCCTCACCACACCCCCCCACCAAATATAAATTAAACACAAAGCCACTAATCATGCTAAAAACAGTCACATACCCTCTGGTACACGCCCTCGTACCCCAACCGACCACGCAACCACAACAATCTCCACCACCATGGTTCACACGCCCGCCGCCAACAGCAGCAGCATGGTGCCCAGCGGTCTAACAATACTACAATAGCCGCCGCCGCAGCGGCGGCCTCCTCATCATCAGCCGACTCCCTAGCCACCCTTCTCCTCGAGGAACACGCGCTGCAGCTCCGCAAGCAGAACATCGCTGCATTTGGGTACGCATGGATTAAGCCGGCAGGGTGCTCGAAGACCATGTTGGGGGTGAGGGAGGAGGAGGCGGAGAGGGAGGAAGGGGCTGCGGCGGCCGCTGCAGAAGCGGCCGGGATGGAGTTTGCAGGTGATGGAGTCGGGTTGGTCGGTGGAGTGGTCGAGGGGGAGGGAGAAGGGGAAGGGGAAGGTGGGGAGACGTTTGAGAGGGATTTGGATGATGATATTCCTGATGCGGATGCGAATGTGGAAGGTTTAGTTGAGGAGGGGGAGGAGGGGTTGGAGGGGGAAGAGGATGAGTTGATGGAGAGGGATTTGGATGATGATGTGCCGGATGGGTTTGGGATTGATGATGAGAATGACGATGAGGATGAGGAGGATGAGGATGAGGATTATTTTGATAACCAGCCTGATCTTGACGATGATATACCATCCGCACCCATCTCCGCCTCGGGATCCGACGTCAGATCGGGATTGGGATTTGGGGAGGAGGAGCAAAGCATGATGGAGCGCGATCTCGACGCGGATATCCCCAGTCTAGCGGAGGATGACACCGGACAACAGCAGCAGTGGGAGCACACCGACACCGACCAGGATGATGACGATGAAGAGGACGACGACAGAGATGACGTATATATGGACGCAGACATGGACATAGACACCCACGCATCTCCTGCACAGCAGTTCCACTCAAGCAGCTCCGCCTTCCCAACCTCTTCCATACCACACCTCCATCCGCACTCTTCTTCCATACGCCGCGAGACAGAAGCGGAATCACAGTTTTTGCGAAGATGGGGTGGAGGCGGGGGCGGTGACAGTAGTCCCGTGGGCTTTGGATCGCCGGAAAACTTACGCAACCAGCGGAGGAGGCCGAGGAGACGTTCTGCGCTGACTGTATCGTCGGATAGTCTTGACTTATAGTGGTTTTAAACTACCTTTTTGCTCAGTCTCTGGGTGTTGATGGTATTTCTTCACGCCTCTTATGTATGAAGGATGTTGTTCATTCTGAAAGAGTAGCGGTTGGGGGATGGAATTCTTTCCTCTTTCTTTCTCTCTCTCTTTTTTTTTTTCTTCTTTTTTTTACTTCTTATTCCTGTTAATTTTTTAACTCTGCACAGCAAGGAGTTGATGGTGCAACAGGTTCTGATATAGATATCCATGTTTTATACGCTCTAAGAAACATTCAAGAGGCCGGGGACTAGGCGGATTGATAACGATTATCCGGTTAAATTAGACCAAGATGATGATACATATGACGCTAACTTGCCTTCTTGAATCGACATATTTCGGTCTCTGCACGTAACAATGGGCATGGGTTTAAATTCGAGCTGTGGCCGGGGCGTTGAAACCTATTCACCGTGTATATTTTCTCGTATCGACTCACATTGACGTAGGCACACCTTGTGTGAACTTACATTTAGAAAACAAATAAAACTAAGCTACACCGACAGCAGATTCAACGCACCGCGAACTATCTCCTCGTTCCCGACGCTGGATGAAAAAGAAAAATAATTAGAAAAATGAAATCCCATGCCGCTCCACGTTCAAAGCAAAACATCCCGCCAGACAAAAAACAACAGTACACAGTTCCCTTCCCCACAGTTCATATCACGCCAATTCTATGACTGATGTTTCTTTCAAATAAAAATGGTGCTATGTATACATCAAAATAGGGCCATTTGCGTCAAGTGATTTCGCTAGACTGCGCCTGAAGGACGAGAAAGAAGAAAGTTTACCCAAGCAGCAGGGGAAGAGATTCGTGCAGCAAGTAACAATGAAAAGATCAAAGCTAAAAGACAATAATTAATAATAATTAATTCTAACCCAAGATGGGAAAAATAAACCGAAGCAAGGTGAAAAGGGGATATAAAGAAAAGAATCAGAACACAAAAAGGCAATTCGGTCGAACTTGGGAAAAAAAGATCCGTTAATAGCACCAGTAGCACCTCGATGTACATGTACATTTATGGAAATAAAAACAGCCCATCTTTTGTGTTCCGTGTGTATAAATGAAAAAACGCCAATTGCTGCCTCTCCTTCTTCATATAATTTGAATTTCCTAGGCCCCAGTCAGCAAAAGAGTGTGCAGGTGAATTCACGTATAATAATAAACTCCCGGATATGCAGCGGCGATGTTGTTAGATGATGTGTAGGGGAGGCGGATGGAATGTTGACAAAGGTATATTATATAAAGGACGGTAGTGTCGTTAGGGAAAACGCGGTTGGAAAATAGATATCCATTGTTTATTGTGTGATGTTGTCGGGAGGAGAGGGAGTGGTATCTCCTGAGGTCGAATATTGGTTCCGTTACGGGAAACCCTCGATGGAAGTGGAGGCGATTGGGCCTCAAGGGTGGGGAAGGGCAATAATTAGGTACTGCCTATTCTCCATTATCCGATATTAGATGTTATCTAGGCGTCGCGAGTGAGGCGTAAACTCATGGCCTGATTCGTAGACATTCCCGGTGTGTTTCTTTGTTTGAACTTAAAGATTCAAGATCGAAGTTTCAAAAGAGCCACACGTAGATGAAGAGCAAGAACACGGCGCAGAAGAAGCCGAGCAAGACTCTCCAGCCAACGCCCGTTTTGTCAGCCATGACAAGCATGCGATTCATGGTTCCACGTAGTCGCACTCTTGTGCTGTCGAAGGTATCATTCATTTTATCTGCAAGGGCAGAAGACTCGCGGATTTCGTCACCAATCGCAATGGTTATCTGTTTTGGGGGGTTAAATAGTATGTTAGGAACTGGCACTGGAGAGTTTCTTCGCCAAAAGCTACCAATAAAGGATTGTGGAGCTGATGTAAAATACATACATCTTTCAACATCTTCACCTTCGCAGACATGCCTTGAAGTTCCGTTTCGTTTTGCGACTCGAGCGAGTCAAGAACAGCATCGGAATATTGGCCCCTATACAATATACCACCACCCCGGTTTCTTGTTAGCCGCCCGACTATCTGGTTGCATATATTCAAACATCAAACATAAAATTGTCATGTCCCCATTGAGTCCGCTTAGAGTGAAGGGTCCATCCCCAACATACCTCGAATTAGGCGTAGCAGCTCGAAAAGACCCAGCAGAACCGCCTCTATCTAGATGTCCATTTGATGATCCGGAGAAGCCATACCCGCCAATTTTGCCGCCGGGCGACCGGCTTCCCTGCCGCATCCTCTCGCTGCTTCCGCCGCCATATGAATCGAAGAGGCTCGAAGAAGCTCGAGGGTCGCGCTGGTGAAGCGTGGAATGGGTGAACCTGTTCAAAGAAAGCAGGAAGAAGGGATGTTAGCGGGTTGGTCGCCGCCCAGTAAAAGAAGTAATGCAGCAGGACATACCTCGACGCCATTATTGTGATATCAGTGCGGAGTGCAAGGGACAGACATTATATCGTGTGCTGAAGAAGAGAAAACGGAAGGGGTTGGACAGACGGTGATAGATCTCATATTATTATCTGGCTTTCGTTGAAGTTGAGGAACAAATAAAGTTGATAGAGCGGCTTAGTCATTAAACCGATATTCTAAGAACGGAATAGCGTTAAAAGTGGATAAATTTGGGTCTTGGCACGTGCATTTGAGTTCTGGCCGAAAACGGACATGGGAAGCCCTAACATCTATACTGCAGAAATGATGTGGTTGAGGACAGTGTTTTGTATTCATTCTATCCCATTGACAGTGGCTTTTATTCATGATCAATGTGTTTAAGATGTGTCCTTCCTGTTCACAATGACAGTCTGTCAATAATCATTGAGTGAGTTCATGATCCAACCTCCTTATTACAGTGGCAGGTTCAGATCTAGATTGTTGATTGAAAAAGTCACTTCATCACAGTCAAGGAGGAAAGCTTTGTTTATTCCAGGATTATTGAAAAATAACTGCAAAGATCTATCCCAATTTCCCCTGTTTTCCCTTTGTTCTCGCTTGTTTTTCTGCTGAGGAAACAAAAGAGTTGGGACATCCCAGAAGGAAGAGAGAAGCTTAACCCTCGATGTACGAAAATTCACTGCTTTAGGTTTCTTTTGATGATTTTTATATCTTCCGCCTCTCTCTGATTACTTCATTTCTCTGGTCATTTACATGACTGTTTCTGCTTCAGGGACGCCGGAGGGAGGAAAAACAATATAAGTGCACCACCCAAATATGCTTGGACTTTTAGATAACATAGTTTTATGGGGGGGATATCACACGCCTGCCAAAACCATTTTCCCAGCCACCAAATATCAAACGAGTAGAGGAAGGGGGAAAACGCTATAATCCAACTCAGAGGAAACGGGGCAAGCAGAGATATTGTTCAGCTGATAAATGAGCACATAAGTTTTTCTCATTCGCTTCTTTATTTATTTGTAAAAAAGCAGGAAATACCGCAAAACACCCAACCAAATGACCCTATATTCCTGTCGTTTCGTCATTTTCTTGTTTTCTCTTGCTCACAACCTTCTAATTTCGTTTCTCAATCTCTCATAATATGATCGTCGTCCTGGTTGGTGGTGGTATCATCTTGGAGCTCAAAATCTCCATCGTCGTCATCCTCATCGTCAATCGGGTCGCCAGCCTCTTGCGCCTTTTTCGCAGCCTCAGCGAAATCAATCATTTTGCCACGGGTGCGTCGGCCGTCGCTGATGATGTTGTCGGCGGAGATGGGTTCGAGGTTGTCCTGTGCTGTGTCTTCGTCTTCGTCATCTGCTTTGGTTTCCACAAACGGGATGGGTTAGTTTGGTTGAAGAACAATTGGATAGGGAGAAGAGTTGAGACCGCCAAGAGAGGGGCGGAAAACGCGATGCCAATATTCAAAGATATGGAAAGACAGGATTATGTTTTCCGGCAAGGAACGACAGGGGTAAATTTAGCGTAAGAGAAGTGGATGGAAGCTCATTACCCTCGACTGGCTGTAGATCCAAGCAAATAGAAATTGTTAGTAGTTCTTCCTTAGGACTCAATGGAGGTAGGATATGCGACTCGTACGCGCGTAATGACGAAATGGCCGAAGGGGGATGATTTGGATACGTACCAGATCCTCAACGGTGCTCTCTTCAGAAGAGCTCTCCTCGTCCTCGCCCATGCTCACATCGTCAGCTGGATGGGTGTCAACTGCTTTGCCCTTTCCCTTGTCTAGGCCGCTAGTTGCGCCACCGCCAAAAGCAGCAGCTCCGGTGTCGCCCATGATGCGATAGTGGTGTTGTTATAGCTAGAAAGGAGGTAGAAGGGAGGTTGGCGGAGGAGGTAGGGCGGAGAAGTAAAGGAGGAATGAGGAAGATACTTTGTTGAAGGAGGAAAGTCTCCGTTCTGTGAGGGTAAGGCAGGCAAGGACTTCAGTATTATTGGGACGAGGACTAAAGTAGCAAGCAGGCTGCCCCGGTCAAGGTCGCGGTACGGGTATGCCGCTAGGCTGGTTTTGGGTGGAGTCAGATGACCAGCCAAGCCCTATCGGGTTGCCTTAAAGATCCATTTCTGAATCCCCTTTTCCAGACAACAACAACATGTGAGTGAGTGAGGCGGGGATATTGGGCATATTCAATTCCAGGGACTTTATATCCTTATACTTGTTTAAATCAGTGATTACTGGTTTCTCATAGGACTTCCCAGTGATCGATCTAATAGACTCCAAAGGAGCCCTTCTGTGCTGCCAAAATACGGGCTTATTTCAATAGATAGACCTTTCTTCACCATCGATGCTTTATTCCTCTATTTTGATTGAACATATCATATGATATGGATTGTTAGTGGTCCATATGAAGAGCTTCGTGCGCTATTTCCCATATGACTGCAAGTCTACACCGTACAATTATCATGTCTGAAATCATGTTTCATATTTTAGGGATAACGAACCTTTATCAACCATCTTTCAAAGTGAGGACAAATCTATCCATTCAGATGGAAGAAAGGACAAAGAAGCGTCAATACAGAACATACTTTTCCTCCCATGTCTCATCTCCTGGTCAAAAAGTAGTACTCTCTATCCATCATCGCAAATGTCGGGGGTAGATGGTATCTTGAAGCCCCCCTGGATACTCTCACGGACGCGAAAACCAAACCGGAATCCTATTCGAATCCATTCGAAACAATATAGCAGGCCCCCGTTTCATGTTCGTGTCTACTAGACATAAATGATAAAGATCCTTGAAACGCGAGATATTCGACCACAAAAATATTTTATTTCAAGATGAACTATCACACTGTCTTGCCCTACGCCAACCTAGACCAGCCCTGCCCTGGCCTTCAGGAACAAAAAAACTGTCCGTCACCCAATTTCCCTTAACCACTGGCTTCTATAATCTCATATATCATTCTTCTCTGCCCCGTCTAGTGCTCGAACATATATGTTCCGTGATCAGTTATATATCTTTCAAAGAATAAGAGCACTAAAGCAGGGTTCCGGAGAGGAAAAGTAAAAAGAAAAAAAAAGAGGATCGCTGCACATACCTTGAACATCGCCATGAACACCAGCAGCACCAGCAGCAGCAGCACCGTCCTTCAATCCCCCATGCATTGGCTCTGCCTCATCCGTCGCAGACCTCCAATACCACCACCTAAACCTCTTAACTAGCTGCTTCCCACTTTCCAATTCCCTTCCACTCTCGCTTGCATGTTCGCTTTCGTGTTTGATTTCACTCCCATCTGCCGCCCCAGCATGGGGTCCTCCAGGTAGTATTACTAAGTCCGCCGGCGCCGGCCCATTCCTGGCTCTGAGCCCGAGTCCGAGATCGACTCCGAGATCGACTCCGAGATCGACTCCGAGTTCGAGGGCCGCGTCCGCTTTCGCAAGTGCTCTATCTTTACCGCGCAGATCATCACGCCTGTCAACATTCATCCCCTTTCCAAGCGCCAAGGGAGACAGCGCCAGGTGGGCTTCTGTGTTGGGTTTCTCCAGGTCAGATTGATTGGGGGTCGGCAGGGCGGAGGCCAGCATGGGGAGGGTTGATACTGTGAGGCATAGAAGGATGCCGGCGAGGGTGTTTGTGGAGTGCATTGTTTTTGTTTGGTGAGTTTTGTGCTTTCGTTATTTCGTTCTGGTATGTTTTTTCTGTCCGTCTCGAGATGTTTCTGGGTGTATATGAATATGTATACTGTAGGGCCGCGGGTAAGAAGAGTATGTTAACCCCTTTAACTTTTCTATTAGCAGAAGGCTCCAGGAGCTCTGAGAGAGAAAGAGTCACTAGCAATATATACCACTCATTCCTCTCATTATCCCCATGGGAGGAGTAATAAGCATCCAGATTCCAACACAGCCCTTCGTCGCGCTTCATTTCTAATCCATGGATGCATTGCATACTGCTACTTTGGTCGGCTATGGAGCCAGTCATTTTCCCTTGTTGATATCTTATATCCCCGGCTCCAGTCGCGCGGTTAGATATATATATGTAGAAGTCATTTCATGCTGTGTCCATTTCTCTTTTCCTTATCTTTCATTATATAGATCTCTTCTTATCGTTACTCCTTGGAGAAGTAGAGAGAGTAGAGGGAGGAGCATAGGCGGAGTAGTGCTGCTGCGCTTTTGCCCCATACACGGGGCCCTCGGCAAGGATGCAGTAGACAGAGGCGTGTTTAATGTTATCGGTGACTTTTGAAACACGAAAGGAAGGAGGTCTCTTATAATTTTCGACATTTCTTTTTAGTTTTTCTTTAATTTTTTCTTTAGTCGATTAGTTAACTAAATAACATGATATAAAATGTTGACCTCGACGAGCCAATGAAGATGTGCGTATATATATATCCATATGGGCGTCAACCCGACCACGAGATCACACCGCATCACACCGCATTGCTATTTAATATATTTGCCCCAATGTGTAATCAAAAGCATCAATTGTTACATCGCACATCCATACGCGATCCAGGCATTGTCGGGGGTCCCAGATGCATAGGTATTCGATGATGTGCGATCCACATAGACGGATGAAGGCAAGAAGTCTTCCGTTTTCAATTTTGATGGACAGGCAGGGATATTTGTTCTTACTGACAAAGAAATGCTCAGCCAGGGGTATCACTGGCTTACTTATGCCAACGTCGATGCTTTGAACCTGTATCATTGTCATATAACGGAGTATATGCCTCCTAGGTACACATTGCTGTCACTGATCCATGCGTACTGGGTTGGAGTTGTGGTCCCTTGGAGCAGAGGCACGCTGGTTCCTTCAATGGTCTTCAGGAAGCTAGCTAGAAACGGCTTCGGGCCACTGTGATGGGGCTGTTGTTATCTTTCCGGAGTCTGATAGTTATACACAGTAAATAATACACGTAACTAACTTATTGAATGTGGCTAAGAAAAAAGATGGACATGATTAGAAAAAGGAAAATCAAAATTTCTAGCTCTGCTAATCCATAGTTATCAATCTCATCTACGGAGTACCGAGATAAAAGTTCTCCATTTCTCAATAAAATAACTAGTTACTCAACAGACACATTTATATTGGAGATAAGAATTACAGATCAAGTCTATATTATTATATATTGTACATACATGTACGTACGGAGTACAGCAGTTACAGTAAACCCGATGCCCAAAAAGCCAAGACCAGGCTCCTTGAGGATGACTCATCCGGGCAGGAACAATAATTCCCCCGCCAATCACGGTTTGTTTTGAGGCAAATAGTTTGCCACACAACCGCGTTTGATGAACAAGAAACGAGCCGCCCACTATGATTACGTCATATTCGCTTCCGTTGCCTCATCATCGATCATTGCAACAGATAGCAGCAGCAAAATAACAACAACACCAACCCCACAGATGGAATATTCCAGCGATATAGAGAAAATAAATCAAGACATTCAATTGGGTTAGGAGCTAAGAGCTGCCTTGTCTAGAAGTAGCGAGTAGTAACAGCTTGTGTTCTTGTTGTTGTTGTTGTTGTTGTTGTTGTTGTTGTTTCTTTTTTTTTTGTAGAGGAGGTGTGGAATGCGGTGGACGGCGGTCGAAGGTGCTGAACTTGCTAGAAGCTTCTGGCGCCGAAATTGACCGCCCGCATATAAACAATTTTTGGCCCGCACAACAACATCCCACTTCTTATTTTTTCTTCTATTCCTCTTCATTCTTCATCCTCACAGCTACCCGCTCTGCTTCTTCTTCTTCCTCCTCCCATCTATCTCTCTCTTCATCGCACCAATTCTCGATCTCCCCTTTCATTCATCTACATCCTCTATCCTCTGCATCTGTATCATATTGCACATTTCTCACCAGCTGCCGTTTTAATATCCCGCTTCATACATCTAATTCCTTCAAAATGGGTCCCGCTGTCGGTATGTCTATAATTTTCCCCCCCTCTCCTCCAGTATTGCTCGTTATTTCATCCTCCTGCTTTGATTGCTGCTGACTTGGCCTCGTTTTCGACAGGTATCGATTTGGGTACCACGTACTCCTGCGTGGGTATCTACCGTGATGACCGCATCGAAATCATTGCCAACGACCAGGGTAACCGAACCACCCCCTCGTTCGTTGCTTTCACAGACACAGAGCGCCTCATTGGTGATGCCGCAAAGAACCAAGTCGCCATGAACCCATCCAACACAGTCTTCGACGCAAAGCGTCTCATTGGCCGCAAGTTCGCCGACCCTGAGGTTCAGTCTGACATGAAGCACTTCCCCTTCAAGATCATCGACAAGGCTTCCAAGCCTGTCATTCAAGTCGAGTTTAAGGGCGAGACTAAGGAGTTCACCCCTGAGGAAATCTCCTCCATGGTCCTCACCAAGATGAGAGAGACTGCCGAGTCCTACCTTGGCGGCACTGTCAACAATGCCGTCGTCACCGTCCCCGCCTACTTCAATGATTCACAGCGTCAAGCTACCAAGGATGCTGGTCTCATTGCCGGCCTCAACGTCCTCCGTATCATTAACGAGCCTACTGCCGCTGCTATTGCTTACGGTCTTGATAAGAAGGCTGATGGCGAGCGCAATGTTCTCATTTTCGACTTGGGTGGTGGTACTTTCGATGTTTCCCTCCTGACTATTGAAGAGGGTATTTTCGAGGTCAAGTCCACTGCCGGTGATACTCACTTGGGTGGTGAGGACTTCGACAACCGACTCGTTAACCACTTCGTCCAGGAGTTTAAGAGAAAATCCAAGAAGGGTTAGTGAAATCACCATTTTTTCCTCGTTTCTTTTATTCTTCTTTATCTACTAACACAATTCTAGATCTCTCCTCCAACGCACGTGCACTCCGCCGTCTCCGCACTGCTTGCGAGCGTGCTAAGCGAACTCTCTCCTCTGCTGCTCAAACTTCCATTGAAATCGACTCTCTGTACGAGGGTATTGATTTCTACACCTCCATCACCCGTGCCCGTTTCGAGGAGCTTTGCCAGGACCTCTTCCGCTCTACCATGGATCCCGTCGAGCGTGTCCTTCGCGATGCCAAGATAGACAAATCCTCCGTCCACGAAATCGTCCTCGTCGGTGGTTCTACCCGTATCCCCAGAATCCAGAAGCTTGTCTCCGACTTCTTCAACGGAAAGGAGCCCAACAAGTCCATTAACCCTGACGAAGCCGTTGCCTACGGTGCTGCCGTCCAGGCTGCTATCTTGTCTGGTGACACTTCTTCCAAGTCTACCAACGAGATCCTCCTCTTGGACGTTGCCCCACTGTCTCTCGGTATCGAGACCGCTGGTGGTGTCATGACTCCTCTCATCAAGAGAAACACCACCATCCCCACCAAGAAGTCCGAGACCTTCTCTACCTTTTCTGACAACCAGCCCGGTGTCCTCATCCAGGTCTTCGAGGGTGAGCGTGCCCGCACCAAGGACAACAATCTCCTCGGAAAGTTCGAGCTTACCGGCATTCCCCCCGCGCCCCGTGGGGTGCCTCAGATCGAGGTTACTTTCGACGTTGATGCTAACGGTATCATGAACGTCTCGGCCCTCGAGAAGGGTACTGGCAAGACCAACAAGATCGTCATCACCAACGACAAGGGCCGTCTCTCCAAGGAGGAGATCGAGCGCATGTTGGCTGAGGCCGAGAAGTACAAGGCTGAGGACGAAGCCGAGGCTTCCCGCATCAGCGCCAAGAACGGCCTTGAGTCCTACGCCTACTCGCTCCGCAACACCATCAGCGACCCCAAGGTCGACGAGAAGCTCGATGCTGCCGACAAGGAGAAGCTCAAGTCTGAGATTGACAAGACCGTCCAGTGGCTCGATGAGAACCAGACCGCCACCAAGGAGGAGTATGAGTCTCAACAGAAGGAGCTTGAAGGGTATGTAAAACCAATATTTCTTCTTTCTCAATCCCTCGAAAAACATAAATGGTATAACTAACAAAATTCAATTTAGTGTTGCCAACCCCATCATGATGAAATTCTACAGCGCAGGCGGCGAAGGCGCTCCAGGCGGATTCCCTGGCGCTGGTGGACCCGGCGGCTTCCCCGGCGCCGGTGGACCTGGCGGACCTGCTGGCGGCGACGACGGCCCAACCGTCGAGGAGGTCGACTAAAATTTCCCCCCTTCCTAATTTCTCCTCCCCCCATAATTATTACCAAAAATCCTACGTTTCTTTTGTGTTCTCCTAGTTTATCTTTTCATAGTGGTTTTAAACGGGTTTTTCCTTTTTTTTCCCTTAATGTTTTAACGTTCACGGCCTTCTGGTTTTTTTTTTGTGTTCTTTCCTTGTTACAAATTTTATGTTGTGCTGGAAAACAAAAAAGATCTTAATTATGGAATTACTGGAACATGCTCTTTCTATCATTCTACTACGAAAAACAAAATACACATCAACCATAGTGATAAGAGTCTTTCCTCTCTCCTCCCATCGAAGAAGGCAGGAGGGAAGAACCTAATGCTAAAGGTTCCCTTTGAGCTTTTAATTAGCTTATTCTAACTCAGCCTTTGTGCACTTCTTTTCGATATACCCGTAGGGCCGTAGCTACAAACGTATGTTCTCCTCGACATCCCTGCCATGGTCTTTTGTGGTATTTCCTCAATCAATATTCTGTAGCTTCTGAACTTATTTCTCCACCCCCTCCCCCGGGTGACATAAATTCTCTTGGAAAACCTCTATTCACCATTCGTTCATTCTTTTTGTCCGTTTTTATTGTGGTGTTTTTGTAAATGAATGATGATTTACCATACATCCATGTACCGTAGATACAATACAGATAGATACATTCAAGTTGTATGTAACAAGAGGCTCGAAGAAACACTAAGAAGGAAATATATTTTTCTTTTATACTCTTTCGGTATTCCAGCTTCGTCTGAATATTTTTTTTTAAAAACGTTCCGTGAGAGGGTTAAGAGAAAATAGGTACTGTTCTCCCAAATCCTAGGGCCCCCTTTTAGCGCTGGCCTTCCTGTCTACGACCATCTCCCTCTCAAAAATAACTTAAGTCTTTCGCTAGCAACCAGCAACAAGAGAGAGAAACTACTGCATTTCATCCAACGTCTGATACAATTTATTTATTTTAACTTTGCTCTGTGTCGATGGCCTACGAGGAAAAATGTATGGCCAAACGCTTCCTTCAGCAGCTCAGCTCGGCTCAGCCCCCTGTGTGACATGACAACCTGCTTCATGGGGAGGCGCACAGAGGGGCCGATGGACCCTATATATATATATATATATATGAGTGCCAGTGGAACGTATAGCGCATTGTTCCATGAGATATTGCAAAAGCTGTTGTCTTTTGTTTTGTCCAGCTTGCTCTTTTCTATCTATCACCAGCTGAAGAGTGAACGTGGTTTTCTTCTAACTACCACCAGCGAAGCGCTGGTTTTACTCTTCTCTGCCGGGCACACTGCGTGTATATGGATATTATTAGATTATCTGGATATAACTACGTATATCAATGCCGATAGAAAAAAAAAAAAGTTCCACTAAAAGCAACGCAACCAGCTGCAGGATGAAGATGAAAAAGAACCTGAGCATTCGCTGGGAGAGCTTGAAAAGGGCTGCTGTGGTGTAAGTTAAGGAACAACTCTCCCTCTTGTTTCTCTATCTTTTTTCTCTTTCGCCCTGAGAGACTGGCGGCCACCCTTCCCCGGAATCCACTATCATGAAATGAAACAGCGTTCCCAAGCTGAAGAAAAAAGGACAGCCCAATCGATGAAAACGCCCACTACGAGAACGGCACCTGGTGCAACCGCGATCTCATCCCGATTCCGCCGGAGAGGCGGACGTGGGGGATTTGGGGGTATTTTGGTATGGCCCCTGAGTGTTGCGTTAGAAGGAGAAGATGAAGATGAAGATGAGAAGGAGAATTCAATAATTGGGCACTACATTCATACCTACATGCTACGCCATGCTGTGCTGTGACAAAATAAATAGAAAATGTCCTGCTGATTCTCAATGTGGAAATCACGGCTACGTTATATATCAGGATACTGGACGGTATCAGGCTCCTGTATCTTTGCATGGACTATTGGAAGTACACTGCTTGCCTTTGGGCTTAGTCCACAGCAGGCTATTGCGTGTGTGGTGGGTGATTTTTCTTTTTATATATAACTCGATGATCGCTTTCTCTGTCGCCCCCCCCCCCCCCCCCCCCCCCCCCCAACTTTGTCCCGCTCTGTGATTGCTCAGCAATGAGCTGATCACGGAGTTCTAATTTTCTATTGTAGGTCGTTGGCGGGATACTTACGGGATTGCTCGCGGTGGCATGTGGCTGGATGGGGGAACGGCAGCAGATCGGATTCACGGTTGCGTCGCGGTTTTCATGGGGGATGAGGGGATCGTACTGTGAGATCTTTCTTTACTGTTTTGCTTGTTTGTTTCTTTATCCCGCTGTCATCATCGCTTGGAGGCTAATCGGTTCGCGGTTTGGCGGGGAGGGAAATCTAGTCCCCGTCCTGCTTCGTGCCTTTGTAGGATCGATGTGGTTTGGAATGCAGTCATTTTGGCATGTACCTTTTTCATATCCAAAACCGGCGCGTGTTTTTGCTTTTCTCTCGTGGGAATGGAAATTGAAGTTCATTGCTGACGAGCCCTCACTTTTATATCATTTTTTTATATTTAAGGGGAGGCCAAGCAACTCGAGTCCTTATCGGGGCCATCATCCCAGGTAAGTTGCGCCTTTCTCAGCTAATTTTCTCTCTGGGAACAATCGACTACTGGGTTGCTTGCTGACGTTGATGTCTAGGGTTCGCACATATGAAGAACTACTTCGCGGAAAGTTCCCATCTTACAACAAATGACTTCATCGGCGTGGTAATTTGGTACGCCGCTTTCATCCCCCTCTGTCTCATCCCGCCCGAGCGCCTACAAAAGCCATTTGCCATTTCATTCGTCCTCTTCGCGTCGTCCTGTATTGGAATGTTAATATGGTGCGCTCTCCTAGCCCCGTTTCCCTTCCCCCCTACATAACTACAATAGACTGTTCATCTTTTTAACACCCACTTGCCCTTATGACAGGGGCGTCGAAAATGCACATGGACCAGGATCCATGTTCCATAAACCCGCAAGCACACCCTCTGTCACCTGGGGTATGCTCTATGGCATCAGCGCTATACTGGGAGCCTGGGGCGCCGGCACCCTGGCCCAATCTGACTGGACGCGATATGCCAACCGGCCCCTGGCGCCCACCCTTTCGCAGCTCGTAGCTGCGCCAGTTACCATTGCTGTCACTGCGATAGTTGGTATCATTGTGACGAGTGCTGCAAATGATTTGCTCGGCGAGATTATGTGGAATCCCATATATTTGATTGCGGCGATACAGGAGGAGTATGAGTCGAGTGCGCGGGCGAGGGTGGGTGTGTTTTTTGCGTCGGTGGGAATGGTTGCGACACAGCTTGCGGTATGTTTCATTTCTGTCCCTGTAATGATTAACAAGAATCCCTTCTTTTTTTTATTAATATAATTTTGTGAGTACGTGCAGATATCCGTTGTTTTGAATTCTATTTCGACGGGCATGGATATGGCTGGTCTGTGCCCAAAGTATATCAACATCGTCCGCGGAAGCTACATCATGGCTTTTATCGGGTTTTGCTCGCAGTACGTTAAATGGAAAACTTCCCTTTGTTCATATCCATTCTCCCGGCTGCAGGAAGTATCTGTGAGAAAGGTTATCCACCCCTCAACTGACTTGATACATTCATCCTAGACCCTGGCAACTTCTCGCAACTGCCACCAAATTCCTCTCCGTAGTATCGGGGTTCGGGATCTTCATGGCCTCCCTGACGTCTGTAGCACTTTTCCCACTTTTTCCCTTTTCCTTTTCCTACCCCCTTCTTCCATGCTAGGTGCAATTGGAATTGAAATTGCAATATATATATATATATATATTTCTAACAATAATCGTTGAATCCGTTTAGTGGCATTATGCTGGCTGATTACCATGTCATCCGCCGACACAAACTTAAAATAGACGACCTCTACACGGGTGATCCGGGGAGCATATACTGGTATTGGCACGGGTTCAACTGGCGCGCTGTCGTTGCGTTTGTATCTGGCGTGTGGCCGTTGTTTCGTGAGTTCACCGTTATATAACCACCACCCTTTCCGTATTTACCCCCTAGATCATCCGCCGATACGATCCTTCATTGCATCTATACACTCATATTTGTCCAAAAGAGAAAAAGCAAAATTAGGATTTTGCATATATATATATATATATATATATCTATGTATACTATACCCCCCTACTAATAACCCTCCAACCCCCCCCCCCAAAAATAGCCGGCCTCATCGCCTCCATAAACAACATCACCCACCCGGGCCTAGCGAACTGGATCAAACTGTTCAATCTGACCTTCTTTGTTGGCCTCGCTGTCAGCTTTGCTTCCATGGCTACTGTGTGCTATATATGGCCTCCTCGGGGGTTAGGGGAGGAGGCGCCGTTTATATCACATATGCAACGGGCGGACGGGGTGGATTCTGTCTTGGTTGGTAGAGAGGACATTGCAGCGGGGCAGGGGAGATCGGGATTGGATGGGGTGGTCAGGGTAGATTTGAAGGATGATGGGGCGCTGCGGGGGGTGGAGAGGGTGGTGTAAAAGGGGGAGGGAAGAGGGGTGGGTTTTTTTTTTTTCTTTTTTTTCTTTTTTTTTTCTGGGTGGTTCTGCTTGAGATAGATGGGTATGGGTTTGAAAACGGGGGATGTTTGGACGGTGGGGGGGGGGGAGACGGTGTTGATGTTATACCTATGGTTCGGATAATGTAGTCAGACTACCAGTAACAGGAAAAGAGGAAGAACTAATAACGTTAAGAAACTCCGATGTAGTAGCGTTACCAATTTCCATTTGATGATAATATATTATGTATGGGTTTTCTTTTCGTTCTTTCTCTCCATCCACGAAGTTGTTTGCTGGCGGAGTTTTGATACACATTTCTTTGTTACTGTACGTAGTTAGGTGTAGTAACTTATATTAGTTATCCATTCCATCCGGTTGGTTGCAACGTGGAAACATCAGCAAGTGGAAAAAGAAAAAAAAAAGATAGACCTATTGCAACCCAGTAGCATGCACTCACTGGATGATGAAACTGGACAAGCCAGATATGAGTCTCCGGGATGACTGGCCCCTGAGGACGCATTTCGTAACTTGTAGTATGTGTGTACGTGTACTTGTGTGTAACTACTGTACTACTACTTACTGTACATGTATAGATGGGATGTATGGCAGCGGGACGAATGAGAGGCACCGGGTGAATTCGGAGCGCGATCAGAGTTTCAATATGTTTTCTTCTTTTACTCCGTATACTCTGTTTGTTTGTACTGTAACATACTTTGATCCTTGTCAGTTCTTTTTCTTATAGAAAATTGTTGGCGCGGGGAGATTAAAGTTGATATTAGATAGATATCAATCAACCCTATTTCTTATATCTTATGTATCAGGATAGAGAAGTTAAGCCCGGGCTTAATTTTGCTACAGCACGCTAGTTAACTAAGGTCGACGCCGGTCTTCTTGGCCATGAGGATCATTTTCTATCTAATCTCCCAAGACTTTCCGTGTTATATTCGCGGATTTATAGTAGTTAGTAACTAGTAGTTAAGTTACCATCTAAATTCGCATCTCAACTACAACTTTTCTTTCTTTTAAAACATCCTCGGAATAGATAAGATTATTGCAATGGACAGGGGAACGAACTCCACCACATCTTAGAGCAAATTCGCATAAGCCAACTTCTTCTTATGAAGGTAGGGCATTCTTCTTCTAAGCAAAAAGTTTGTTCCTATCCTACCAGAGTTTAGGAAATCTTGTGTCCTTTCTCCTTCTTTTTTTTTGTCCCTTTTTGTAAGATGGAAGTGTAGAAATAGTTCCACTGCCTTATGGAATAGTAATAAATGGAAACTGTCCCGGTTGTGCAGTTGTGCAACCATCATTAGTAGTTCCAGAGAATCAAATCATTCGCACAGAGTAGAGTAAGTGATGATAAGTTTGATATTTGTTCGAGAGAGACATATCACATATATCAGAGGGTTTGCAGGCTGCCCCAATAATAATAATGACCACGGATGAGTATTTTTCAAGCTTCCGCCAGATAACTAAGGCCCCCGGGGTAAGTGAACTAGTTACTGCGTAACTTGGTTCGTCAGGGTTGCTCAAGGAGTCAGTCAGGACGCAGCTCCACAACAACACCCCTTGGGAGATGCAGGAAGAAGGGTTTAACTAAGTTGACCCCGAGGAGAAGTTGCTCTTGGAGTGGAGAGCTGTTCCCCGACAACGGAGGGCGGGGAGTTTCATCTGTGTGTGTGTGTACGCATATACGGAGTAGTTACGCTGTAATTGCCGTGGCCCCCGTAACTTAACTGATTTGGTTTGGCCCAAGCAAGCTGCAGGCCAAGGTTTGGGGGGGGGGGGGGGGGGAGGGGAACCCTGCCGGTTCTTGGGGTCCAAGGCTGGCGCCCAATTACCGGGTTTTTATTGGGGGGGGGTTTGGGCATCCTATCCTCCTTTTCAAGGGGGTTTCAAGAAACGCGGGGGGGGAAAGCTTTCCAAAAAAAATTTTTTTTTTTTTTAAAAACCCAAAGTTCCAGTCCCTTTTCAGTCCCTTTTTCCGGTCCCCTCGGCCGGGGGTTGGTTAAAAATCATTAAGTCCAAAAGGGAGGGGGGAAGAG